ATTAAATGTCCATCGTAAGTTTTCAAGTTATGGAAGAATACTGGGATTTTCTTTGTTACTTTATAATTTAAAATACAATCATTGTGGGCAGCTCCACGGTATTGGCCAGAAGAATGGCAATGATCTCTCACCCGATCAAAATATAGGGGCTTTTCACAAATATGACAGTGTGTTGAGTTTTGGAAAGATACCTCTTGCTCAGGGGTCATTTGAAGAGGAATATATATTGCCATTTGATTTTTAATATAATCATAAGTCTGAAATAATCTTTCAAAAAACACATCCATAACATTTGTGCCACTGTACAACTCTTCAGAAATAATTTTTGAATCTTTTACTACGACAAATGCAAATCCCGATGGAATATGTATATTAGAGTTTATAAAGCATTCAAAATCTGCATAAATAACATATGGGGCTTTAAGTTGATATTTATAATTTTTAAATTGTAATGTATCTTGTTTAGACATTTCCACTCGTTGAGCATCAAAGTTTTTACAATATGTTGTGTGACGTTCTAATATATCATTAGTGTAAAAATGTTGCAAACACAACTTGCAAAAATGCTGCTTATGGACATGTTTTGTAGAGTGGAACATTAACCTATCAAAATCACGAATTAAACAATAATGTGATTTACGACCTTCTTGTAATAATAATAAATCTATGTGAGTATTACTATTTAGTTTAGTCGTTCTTAATGGATATATACATTTCTGGTCTTCAACTCCAAATACATTAACACTTATATTATTCTGTGTTTCAAATTGATCTATATCAGATATTTTCACAGGATACTTTATGTTTGTCATATTCAACTGATTTTCATAGGGTGTATAGTTTGAGACCCTTTCAGCATGTTCATTAAAGTTCCTTGGGTATAAAGCTGTTAAAATCGACCAAAGAAAACATTTATTGTCTGAATTTTTTATATTTAGAACTGCATGTTTTGATTGAATACTTTTTGGCGTGGGAATATATGACTTTGGAGTTAGGGGCTTATACTTGTAAACATGCAACTGCCAATATTTAGTATGGTCATATATCCATCCACTGCCTTGGGCTTGATATTTGTGTATGGAAGCATCAATCTTTAAAAGTGCATTTTCAATTTGAGGCTTTAAATCTCTCTTCTCAATAGTTAAGATAGTAAGGCTTCTAAAATCCGCAATACAATCTTTCTCATTAACTAATTTTCCATTTTGATCCATTGAATATTTTATAAATTTGATTCTCCTAACTAACGTCCATTTTATCGGAAGAGGACAAGACTTCAGAGTATTTTCAAGGTCAGCTCTAATCGATTCACCAACAAATTTAATCATTGTGTATGGACATTTGATACAAGAATTGACATGTCTTCTAAAATGTCCAACAATATTTTTCTTACAAAAACTACAACTCTTGTGACTTTGTAATATATGTGATTTTAGAGCAATATGTTACTATCACAGATTAAATTACAAACTTTACATACCTTCATTTGATGAATTACCTTGTAGTGGCGAATCAGGTTACTTTTGGTGGAGAGCGACACGGAGCAGTGTTGACAGGTGGGCCTCATGGTCCAGAATGAAATATCACCCGAATGTCACTTCTATTTATAGACTTTTCGAAAATTTCAAAATTTTGGAAATTTTCTAAATTTTCAGCTAGAAATTTAAAATTTTTAAAAATTACTTCAACAGATCCAAGACTAGATCACTAGAGACAAAAAAAAGCAAGGAGCAAGCCCAAGTGAGTGACGTTTTCACAACATCACCACTAGAGGCAAGAAGCAGGAGCATGCCCGCGACCGGGAGCACACCCACGCTATGAGCCGAGTTCGCACATACATGATTTTGAAATAGAAATATAATATATCAACTGGAAAGGGGAATGGTAGATGTACTTGCAATTGTGCGTGGGGCAGAGGGGAATGGTGAGGGGGGAGGGGGGGGGGAGTTGGCCCAAAAATGCCGCACCTCAAATAAAAAAAAACGGCAGCAACAATCTGATTATTGAAATTCAACACGGTGTTGCTCCTGGTTCATTGAATAGTGTTATTACATAGAAATATATATATTAAAACCAAAACAGATACACAATAAACTGTACACATGGTGGGGTGCTATGGTACAATTGGGGGTTGCTCTTGCTCCTCCAGTGAATAGCGTTTTTACACTACTATACTATGGGACAGTTGGAGGGGTGCACGTGCTCCTGGTTCATTGAATAGTGTTATTACATAGAAATATATATATTTAAACCAAAACAGATACACAATAAACTGTACACATGATAGGGTGCTATGGTACAACTTAGGGTTGCTCCGCCTCATCCTGCAGTGAATAGCGTTTTTACACTACTATACATATACACATGCATGGGTCAATAAATGAAATAATTAGTTTTTTTTTTATTTTTGCTTAATATCGAATATATTTATGGGGAATAACTAAGAAATAAGGTTTGACAATTTTATAGGGATATTTAGGCAAAGATCAGGATTTTAGATTTGGTGGCCAAAAATAATCCCCATAAGAATAACATGGGAAAAACGTGTCTAAAGTGGGGTATCTTTCTGGGTTCACCACTACTTTTGTTTTTATAACTAATATGAAAGAGCGGTGAGGAAGTTTCCTCCAGAACACTAGGCCTTATCAAGGGTGGTAAGGGTCGAAAAGTAAAAGACTGGGTATCTTACACTTTCATTTATTCAGTGTTTTCCTTATTCTAACACAACGGTTTCTATATATTCAATTTTATATACAGTCTTGATCCTGGGTCTGTATTCCTCCTACCAGGCAGTGTCTCCCGGGCTCGTGTTCAGGGTTTGGCAGAGGTTGGATCAGTCCTTGCGTACGTCCTTACTGGCCCTGTGGTCTACGACACTCCTACAAGATATCAGTGTGGGTCCGCGGTCTAGATCCTTGGTACCTTCACCCCGGAATCCTCGGCCCCTAGCTGCTGCTCTCCACTGGAGACGGTTCTGGCGTCACTTGCTCAGAAGTTAGCACTCTCTATGCAGTCTACTTGGTCTGCAGTCTGACGTAAACTCCATCAATACTCAACGTATACCTATGTATACGCTTTTAAGGTGGTGGGGGACTACATAAGTCCTCCCCTACACCTACAACTACGGACCCGCGGGCTCAACACGTCCATACGAGGGTGTCGGGGGCTCGGCACGACCTGTTCAGTGGTACCCGCGGGCTCAACACGCCCATGCGGGGATGCTGGGGGCTCAACATGCCCGTCCAACGGTGCCGGGGGGTCAACACGCCCGTCCAGTGGTAAATGTGGCTCAAGACGCCCATCAGGTAACCCGGGGCTCAACACGCCCATCAGGTAACCCGCGGGCTCAACACGCCCGTCCGACGGTGCCGGGGGCTCAAAACGCCCGTCTAGTGGTGCCGGTGGCTCAAAACCGTAATTCAAAAGGTCGACTCGTTGGTTGTTCAGGAGTCAACAGCCTTTTGCTGAGCCGCAACCCGTGCATCAAAAGGCATCAAAAGGTCGATTCGTCAGTTGTTTATGAGTCAAAAGCCTTTAATGAGCCGTAAACCGTAATTCAAAAGGTAACCTTACTTCAACAACCTTTGCAGAATGAAACTTGGCTGTGTTTTTTTTTTTTTTTTTTTAGTTTCGTTGACCTATTTTTTGTTAATGTTTAACTTGTTTTCATTTTTCTTACAAATAGCTCGTCAAAAAAGTTATATTTATTTTAAACTTATGACAAAAAGTAACCAATTTGGACAGTTTGACAGCTACTGAGACTGGCAGACAATTACGACACAGACCCCATATCATACCAAAAAACATAAACAGACCCAGAAATTCAATGGAAGAATACTGATGACGACTCTCCGATTGAAGGATCGTGGGGAAAACGACGGAAGTAAGTAGGCCTAAGTAAGTAATTTGTAGAATATGGGAACCGGATTGGACCATCAATACATGACGTCATGGGATCGCCCCTCTAATTTCGGTCAGTATAACGTTTTCAGTAATTCGACCCTGTTTTTGGCACCAAAGTCAGTGAAGACAAACAGAATATACATAAACGGCATAATTGCATCTTACATTAAACGCTCTCATAGAAGTATCCTCATAATGGGTCAGAAAAACACAATTTTAAAATGGGGTCTTTCCGGTTCATGTAGAGGACGTTTTGCTGTTTACCATTTGTAACTTGTTATTAAATTGGTAAAAAAAAACATTCACTAAATGCACCGATTTAATGCATATACAAACCCTACGGTACAATCTACCCTAAATAAAAGTGAAACCCTAGTCACCACATTATAAACGTTACCAACAGAATCAGAATTTAGGATACGCTATAAGGTCTACTTGCGCATCATTCAAGAGAATTTATAACATGTTAGTTAACTAATCCATGTTAACGTCGTACCGTACATACAGACACAGACTGCACTAATGGCCATGTAATCACGTTTACGGATTTTATTACTTTGTCATGAAAATCTGCATGTCATATATTACACCCTGTAACGCTGCGTGACGCTAAGTAGAACCCCCCCCCCCCATCTTTTAGAGCGTTACGTAATATGTTTACGATATTGATTTGGTTTTTTCAGCACCTCTTTGTGTAAAACATTGAGAAGACTAAAACTATATAAAAATATGAAGCAGCAATACATTTTTATGAAATTATCAAACTTTTAACATACAATAACTATTATCTACAAACAATTAATTATTAAGTATTGTAACTATATAGCGAAAGATGAAATCTTTCTTATCGAAAAAATAACCCATCCTGTGAATTGAAGATTAAAACACCAGAACATCAAGTGCTGTTTAATTATGTCCCATTAAATAGCAAAATATAAATAGAACAAAATATGTATTGAATAGTATAAATAATACATAAGATATAGTATGTGAGCTATTTGGCCAACAAAGATTGTTCATTCGATCCAGTTGGCATACTGAACAAGAGTCCCATTTTGTATGCCAGCCATGATAATGAATGAGAAAAAGAATAAAATAATTTAGCAGCACACGTGTGAATGGAGTAGAATCAAGTTTTATCGTTATAACTTTTAATTTATTTTAATTTAAAGCTTGTACTACATCTTGTTAAGTGTTCAGAAATTGATATGAATGCATATTTCAATGAGTGGTGTGGAAGAAATACATATTTTCATTAATCTTGTTCCCGCGCCTTACAGTGTAGTGAGGATTGAAACGCCATAATGGCTGCTTCAAACGGAAGACATTATTTTACAATAAAATTGTTAGACATAATTGTTTTTTTATGGTGACAGTGCAAGATCCCAGTTATAATGGAAAATATTTAGAATATTTGTTTTTGAGTTCGGAAGGGCTTTTAGCCCCCGTCCTTCACTGGGCCTAATTTTATAGTGTTTAGTGAAGCCAATGTTATTGTCAACATGAGTAAGCTCTCGTTCAGGGCTAGGCCCCTTGAGGCCTCAAAACCGATGCCAATTTATATGTCTGAAGAACTGCCCGATCTTCCAGAATATTCAGCTATAAATCGGGCAGTACCTCAAATGCCCAGTGGAATGAAAAAGGAGGAAGAATGTGTAAGTTATGAACTTACATCCTAAGCATTTAGCCTCCATCTTGCCCAATTCCTAGGCTCATAAGAGTGAGCTTTATATACTATTCAAACCCATTAAGTGCCAATGAATGCTAAAGAAAAGTATAGATTAATGTCATAGCCTTCATATTTACATCTCAGTACACTACTCATTTAATATTAGCAGCCGTAATCCTCCAAAGTTGTGGTTTATAGGTTAGTTTTTGAAACTCGAGGCCTATCCCTCGCTACTTCTAAATACTCTTAATAATTTTATTCCCGGTAATTATTTACCATATTTACACTGGGATTTGATATAATTTTTATATTTCTACTTACAGTATTTTTAACGCTGAATCCAAAAATTTGGGCGGAGAAATTCCTAAGTGGCCGTACAGTTATATAATTAATATTAAGCTTCAGTTTTGTTGATTTATTAACACATTTGTGGTATGGACGAGTCCAAGTTCTAGTGGCGACTAACACTAAAAGGGGTGGAAGGTTTGTGGAGTGGAAACAGCTGACAGTTGTTTACATTCGATACTAAACAGACAAACCCAACACACGACATGTAAAAATCAGAATAACATTTTAAAATGATTCAATTTCTAAAAGCAGACGGACTTCTAAGACGTTCCGAGAATACAATTAGGCCTACACAAAAACAATAACTTAGGCTTACATGAACTATTAATAAAATCAACATTTATCATTAATCAATAAATGTAATTTCATTTTTGTAAAACGCTAGGATTTTTAGTCTATACAATAACACGACCGCATCACCATTGCCAAATTGATACTGTCAACTGTCACTGCTACTGAATTGCTGTAATGTAGTTTGCTAACCAACCAATGGATTATTACGCTAAAATGCGCCCAGAAAATAGATCCAGATTAATAACATCTGCAATAGCAACTTATTAATTATCAAGTAAGTTTAATTATTGTTGCCGATTTAGAAATTAGTAATGGCTGATATTTGCAATGCGTGTGACCAAAATTTTTATGAAACAGTTGTGTTTGATGATAATGAAATTAGGCATAACTTAAAAGTTTTTTAATTAAGCACGGGGTTGTAAATAACGAAACGAATTGTCCGAGGTGTCATTCAAACATAAAATTGAACGATAAGTGGTTTTTTTTTGCTGGGGCATTTTTGATATCGTTATTTCATTGTGTTTCACCCACTATTTAATTGTGCAAAAAAGTCTCGAAGCTGCATAAATTAATGAATCGGTTCATTATAATCTAACCTTTACCTTCCTAATCTAACCTCACTTCAAAACACTTAATACAGTCACGAATCCGCATAAAACCCGACCTACCTTCCTCACATGCCTAAATAAGAACTGATGAACTGATCATTTGGTTTCAAAACAAATTGATTTGATTTCATTCCGCATTAGATCAAGTATAAACAGTTGTTTGCTCTTCTCACTCAGTTCTCACTCCTCACTCTTCACTCAGTACGGACAATGGTACGGACCCGTCCTGACCACGCCATATTACAGTCAGTACCATTACTGATTACCTTCAGTACCGCTCAATTATCCTTGTTAGATTCGTAATCCTAACCTTCGTTTTATGGCCGCTACTGCCACTTAGGAATCTCTCCGACCAAAACTGATTGTATTTTTGGATTCAGCGTTCAAAATACTGTAATTAGACATATAAAAATTACATCATATCCCAGTGTAAATAAGGTAAGTATTTGCCTTATTCCCTTTAAGTTAAATCGCTTTTCCACATCGAAAAATTATATTGCAATCTACAAAATAAACAGGCCTAATAACATAGGTAATTTAGGCCTAATTTAACTTCAACTGGGTAAGTTAACTTACAGCTGCGCAGGGAACCTGTGTTTATTAACCGATATAGGTCTAAATAATAGGCAAAAGTAGGCCTAAGATCTTTTCTGCACTGTTTTATAATTTTTGTTATTAGGCCTAGGCCTAATCGTTAAATTAGATATATAAACTTCTCAGAGGATACGTTGACGTCACCGGGTTGTAGGGGCCCGGGACACTATTACCACAAAGATACGATGTGATGTACAGCGGGTGTTCGTGGTGTAGTGGATAGAGTAGTCGGCTGATGAACAAGAGGTAGGCCTAACTAGGCTATGCCTAGGTCTAGATCGAATCTTATCAGTGACTCCAACTTTTTGTCAAAGATTTTGTTTAGAATGCCATTTCTTAATAACTGTAAGTTAGGCTACATCTTTTGTTAGAATTTGAGGCATTTATAATTTTATTTTATGAACAGAATTTAACCTTCATTAATTTTTTTCATTAGCCTATCAGCAAGTTTGGTTAGTTAGGTTAGGTTACAGTACCCTAATGACAGTAGGCCTAACTGCTGGACACCCCACGTCCGGTTACCATACGCGTAGCATCTGCCTATAAACTTTGCATTATTGATCTAATCAGAAATTGGAAAATTTTTTAAACTGTAGGCCTAATAATTTGCAAGGTACGGTATCTTACCTAACAAGTAGTCTAGCCTACATGCTTATGACAGAGTCAGCAATGAGGTTATAAGTATAGGCCTAAGTTCAACCCAGAAATAAAAACAAGACAAAATATAACTTAAGTTACAGTATGTAACTTATATGGACAAACATTCTTGTTTTTTACCTAAGAATAGGCCTACCTGTAACTTAAAGGATGATCAAATGTTTTGTTGATAGGTCAAGTAAGTTTAGCCTAATCATAAAAATCAACTTCACCCTCCGAGTGTTAAGCGTCGCGTAATCGACGCTCAACACACCCGCCGTGGTGTTATGTGTCGCTTTTGCGACACACAAACATCGTTTACGGCGAAGGCTCTGGGACTGAATGAATCAGATTGAACTGGATCGAGATTGGTATTGTTGCTTTCAGCAGATTCTAAGCTTTCTCCTGATGTCTGTTTCTAGACATTTTTCATTTTAGTTCCGAAAATATTGTAGCAGACAGATGACGTGACAACTTGGTTAACCTAGCACCGATGACTGATGTGTTTTATTACGTTTATTGTTGTTTTAGTGTTAAAAATAAAATGTAGTGATATAGGTATGTGGTGCATTATAAGAATATTTAAGTGATTTTGAAGGGCTGGTTGATAATCCTGAAGAAGTAGGTCTAGGCTATTAATGTAAGTTATCCGCCAGATTCCTAGCTATGGTTAGGATATATGCATTCTTAGCTAACGCTAAATGTATAAAATCTGTTTTTCACCTATAACTTATTTATTTGCAAACCTACCTACTTCCTTTTATTATTACCGGTATATTCTTGGAATCCTCATACAATTTAGAACAAAGGTGGTTAGGCCTATTTTAAAATATTTGTAGACCTAAAATTATAAAAATTTATTGAGCGCAAACATAAAGTTTTTAAATTTATTTTATAATTTTTGAGAAATGTTAACCCCACAAAAATCGTAGAAAACTTTTTTTGTAGGTAATGTTTTATATATTACATTGAAGCCCATAATTTCCCAAACAAAATGATATACAGTACCTAGAGTCCCGCAAACTCGGCTCTCGATAACCCGGCAGTCTGGATAACTCGGTCATCACCTGGCTCAGAAAATAAGTAATTTTTTAGTCCGAGTTAAACATGGACTCAGGCCAGCTCAAGTCACAACTCGTACCAAGGATTTGTTGTACTATATCTGATGACTTAATACTGACTTGTGTATAAATTTTAATAACAAAGGCGGTTCATAAGCTTAAAAATAGTATTGTTATACTTTTAACCCTAGATCCTGATAACCCGGCATTTCACAAACTCGGCACCCTTTCAGTTCACATTACGCCGAGTTTGCGGGACTCTACTGTATAAAACAGCATACAGTAGAACCCCTCATAACCGGCCACCGCGGGACCAAGCCCCTGGCCGGATAACGATTTGGCTGGATAAACCAACCTACAATGAAAATGGTAATTCATACCAGTTATAACAATAGGTAATCAATATATGCAGCGAAAAGTATCATTCCAGTCTGTTCTGGGATTATTTAAAAAAACAAACATGTTTGTAAGAAGAAAAAAATATTTGTAGGTTAAAATCGTTAAGTAATGAAGAACGTACAAATATTATGATTCCAGGCAACAAAAACTATTAATGAAGGTAAAAATTACTATAAATTGGACTTGAAAATCATAAGGACTTAAATGGTACATGCATTTCAACCACATAATGTGATTTCAACTCAACATTTTTATCCATTTTGTAAAATACAAAATTAATAATATACTGTACTGTACTAACCCTACTTTGGAAATAATCAACTGATCAAAGATTAGGCCTACTAGCTCAACTTAGTATAGTGACACAGCAAAAAATGTATAAACAAACAGATAAATATTGAGAACAATTTATTTGATGACTTGAGCAGTCACAAAGACTAGTGCTTGCATCTAAACGTCTGTAGGCTGTGAGAAAAACATTTTGATATTGGCTTCCTGGAAGGGGCCGTATAAACAGAGGACCGGTAAAACCAAGGCCGGATATGGGGGGTTCTACTGTAGGGGTAGAGTGTTTTTAAGTTTCCAAGATACATTTTAACAAAACCCTGCGATTGCGCAATAAATGGGCCGACATTAATGCCATCACTATGGACACTTGGAGGGTTAATCAATAATATGTTATTTTTGCCTAATCAAGATCACTTTAAATGAAATTTAAAATTTAAATGTGTTTAAAAGTTTGAAGATATTAAGGAATATGGATCCCAAAGGCAAACATAAATATCGACAGAATCGGAAAAAAAGTCTTTGATAGTATGAATGTTCCTGTTAACAGGAAATTAAGCTTTGGCCTAGTATATATTTTTTTCATATTATTTTGCACTTAAAAAACTTGAATTTTAGAACATTGGTGAGAAGTGTGCTACAAAACCTAGGTAATTTATAAGTTAGTATTCTCCTAGCCTTAAGTTTACTAGGATAACTTTTTTTGTTCTTTGGTAATAGCATCGAAGATGAAAATTTAAAAGAATAATTAAGCTTACACAATTATAATCAATTATATTAGGCCTATTCCTTCTTTATTTCCTGATAAAAATATAAGTTAATACAATATGTTTCCTGGGTTAGGCGTATTTATTTGATAAAAAAAGTGTTTAAAAAAATTCTTGCGCGGCGCCTAAACCGCCCTTGCTTTCTAAGTTACAGAGTAAAATGACTGCCAGGTTTAGGGCTAAAATATATAATTTATATAAGTTAGGCCTAATATAATCGTTTGATACAAAATCTGTAATTGTGGTCAAATTGTAGGCGTTTTCTGCGGGCTCGCAGTAATATCTCGGACATCTGCCGTGTTCGCGGAGGGATCATGTAGGCCTACATCTTCATCATTTGTGACAACTCTATGTGTGATTGCGGGGACATCATCTTCGTCTTCTGCGATCACGGTGATATCACAAATGTCTCCTATGGCTGCGGAGGAATAGTTAACATCTCGCGCGAGCGCAGAGACATCATCTTCGTTTTCTGCAATCACGGTGATATCACGAATGTCTCCTATGGCTGCGGAGAAATAGTTAACATCTCGGGCGAGCGCAGGGACATCATCTTCGTCTCCTCCGATCATGGCGGAATCATGAAATCCTTCTGTGGCGCGGAGAAATAGTCAACATCTTTTGCAAGCGCGTAGACATAAACTTTTGTCTTCTTTGATCATGACAAAGAAGATCTTTCAAGTTTGCGTACGGACATGATTTTTGACTCCCGCGGCCATGATAAAATCCTTCACAACTTCTACGATCGCGCATAGGCTGAATTAATATAGTTGAAATGCAAGAAGTAGGCCTACAAGAGGAGAAATCTGTTTTTAGGTGTTAGATGATCAGCAAAACACAAATTTGCGAAGCTTTGTAATTGTAAATTAACACCATTATAGGCTTCATGTCTTCATCTTTCCAGAATTCATCCAGAGAGTAATAGGCCCTTTCCAATAAATAGGTCTTCAGTTTTTTCTTGAATGCCTTTTGTTCAGTGCACCTTTTTGTTACATCTGTTTATATTTAAAACTTTACTGGCCAGGTATTGAATTCCTGATTAAATCAAGGTAGTCCTATACTCCAGACTAAGTCTTCTTGATCGATTCAGATGAATAATTTATGTCCGACACCATATGGCAGTGGTCGTCTGCATATAAAGTCCAATATTTACCAGTCATAGGTAAAGTACAGTAGTGTACGCCACTCACGCAATTAGCCTTTACAACACTAGTAAAAGTTTTAAAGGCACTCGCCAAGGCTAGTAACTTTAATTTTCTACTAGTGTGGTAAAGACTATCCTTACACGATCATTGTGTAAACTACTATTAGTTTATTGGCATACTTTTCCGGATTGGCTATGCTCAAAAACTAAAAAATGATTGCCAGTTTGTTGAAATAAGCTTGCGGATAGTTCTCTTCATAGGCCTATTTGTGCCTATTCTCCTCATGGGAGCTACAGCGCTATCTCACTGATTCTGAGCTGCATAGCTGATAGCTGGTGTTGGATCAACAGTGTTTAGTCCAACAAAAAGCGTCTAAAAATGATTTCAGTTTTCTTCCTCAAATCTAGTTCCTAGCAGCCTTTAATTTTTATCACCTATATTTTTTTAACATTTGCTTTTGATACCACAAAAATGATGTTTCCAAACAGAAAAAGTGCATGTAATTGAATAAGTTTTTTATTTTATCTTTCAGGAACATCATCTTCAAAGAGCAATCGTCACTGGGCAGTTCATCCCCACTCCAGAAGTGATACACATCGGAGACATGGTGGCTTATAATCGCCTGTACTCACCCAACTACAAAGTGCCGAGGCAACTGATCCACATGCAGCGTGAGTATTTTATGAGAGCTGAAAAAAAAATTTTTAAATTACTTTTTTCACTTTTGATGCTGTTTGAAAAATGTAATCACTTTCCAAAAGTCATATGATGTCAGTTTGATTCAGTCCTTCCTTAACATAAACATAACCATACTTTTGTTAAAAAATACCAAGAACATTCATTATTTAATTACGTTTCAACTTAATAAAATTAAGCTTGGATCGTTGAGTTTGATCATTGATCCTTTTACTTTCTCCCCTTATTCATAGTTTATGGAAAAAGTATTGTTTTTGTCAAAATTTTTGAGTGTCAGTTTTGAGTAGGCCTAGATATATCTGTTTTGGGTCCCCCTGATTCCAAAAAAATGGTTTTTGAAGTGATGTCTGTGTGGATTTGTAGGTTAGAGCTACAGATCACACCTGTAGTCTGATTTTTATGAAATTTGGTGTGTAATAATCCAAGGTATTTCCAGGGGTTTTTTACATTTTTTTTTTTGAATTTTGATTTTTAATGGTGATTTTCCCATAAAACCCATCAAATAACAGAAGAATAGAATTTTCTCAAAAACGGCATGAACCATTTTTATTAAAATTGAGTTTGTTGGCCCTTTAGGTTTTGAACAAAATGGTAAATCCCATTCCTGTAAACATTATGGTTCAAAAGTTACTGTAACTAATGTTATTTTCCCATATAAAATTATAATAAATTGGAATTTTTGAAAAAAAAACCCGGTTTTGATTGAAATTTGTATGTAAAAAAATAACTAAAATATAAGGTAAATATAAGGTCACTAGTGGTCCTTATGATTTTGAATAAAATAGTGCAACCCCCCCCCTCCCCTGATGTACAAATTACGGTTCAAAATTAAATGCAACTTATGTGATTTTTCCTATAAAATATCATGTTCCACTACTTACCCATGATAAAGGTTGCTTGCCCATGATAAAGCTAATGGGAGAAAGTATGTGTCAGATTGCTGATAGGTCTACCGTTTATTTTTAATAGTTTTTCTACTCTCACCCTACAAAATGTTGATGTCAGTTTTACTTTGTGAAATTTAATTTATATTTAGTCAGTAAAATCATTGACTATTGGATAAAGAAGTAGACATCCAATCTATATGGACCAGCTGTCTCCAATTCATTATTAAAACAGAATGTACTTAGTGTGAGCCAGTCACAGAATGCGCTAGATTCGACATACTACAAATTTAGACACACAATTAGCAGTATAGCCTACCATGCTTATTTTTCTTCCATTATGAATTACGGTTTAACGGTATGGGGTTCTTCTAGTCATGCCGAACAAATTTTTATCCGAAAAGAGCAGTTAGAGTCTTAGCTAAAGTGTCTCGAATCACTCACAGTAAAAAGTTTTTCATTCATTTTAATATGCTTACTTTGTAGGCCTATAGTTCTTATAGCCTATCTTTAAACTGGCTTTAACACTAATACCAAAACACCGTCTGACACGCCCACGGGAATTTTCAAAAACGCATGTTGGCAACACTGTTTACTTGGGAGATTCCATTCCCCCAATACCTTCCCCCCTTTTCCTCCCTTACCAATTGATATATTGTTTGTTCATTTTGCATGGGTGCCGTAACCTTGACAGGTTGTCTGTTCATAACATGTCCGTCTCAGAAGCCCAGTGTTAGTGTATTTTAAAGCGGGGTATCACAGGCCGAGGGTTTCGGTTTGTGTGTTTCTAAGCGGGATCCATTATTTTTCAAATGGGGTCTCACAGACCGGGGGTTTCGGTTAACGTCAGCCTAGGTAGGGTTTCGGTATTAGTGTTAATGGTTAAAAGTGATTTTGACACATTCATGGAAGATCAACATGTGCATCCTCACAACACTAGATTTAAAAACAATATAAAACCAGTTCAACACAGACTTAAAGTACTCCATTTGTCTCCTCAGTACATGGGCTCAAAAATATATAACAAATTACCTTCTTCAATTAGGACACCAATTCATTGCCTAAATTCAAAAAGAAGTTAATAAACTTCCTTTTGGAGAAGGCCTTCTTCTCATTGGAGGAATATATGGAAGCTGTGTCTTCTCATTGGAGGAATATATGGAAGCTGTGTCTTCTCATTGGAGGAATATATGGGAGCTGTGTAGATGTTAAGGCTCAGCATATGAAATGTGTTTTAGTAATAATTTTAGTATAATAGAGACTATAAAATATCGTAATGACGAATCACCTGTCTGAATATGATGTTATGTGATTATTGGAAAATAAATAAATAAACAAATTCGACAAAAAACCTGGAGACAACTTAAACATGGGGATGAAATGTCTTAGTTGTATCAATAGTCAAGGGTAAAATGTTATTGAATCAAACTGTTAAAGTGATTTCATAAATGTTTGTCTAAGGTATACATTATTGGTATGTTTCTAGCATTCACAATGGAGCAAGATATTCCAGATTACGACATGGATTCGGAGGATGAAAAATGGCTGGCAGTACATCGCAAAACCCTGGACATCGATGAGTTAAAGGTGTGGAAGGTTTAATTGTGTTCAGAAAATGTAGATTTCAAAGAACATTCAAAATTAAACAGTGAGCAATCTTCAAATGTATTTAGGCGTTAACTCATTGACTTCATCAAACAGTGTAACTTTTATAACTAATTAAATGTTGATACCCACCACCAAACTGTAAATTCTTGTGTTTTTTTTGTAAGTTTAGTGTTTTTATGAGGTACTTTCATTATGCTTGTATTTTGTCTCATACAGGCCAAACAGCTTTTTTCAACATCTGCTTTTTAAGGTTTGACATAGCATTTTGTTGAAATACCAATATTTCCTGTGAATTAATTGAAAATTTGGTGTACACACTGTTACCGTACTGTGATAAATTATGAGACGTGAGTCATTTTTACTTTGATTAGAAATAGTTCTCTTGCAATTTAGAATCCAGTGACCTAGGAATACCATAGACTGGCAATACCTGTACGATTCACAGCAAAGGTCATGAAACCGACCTTCAGTTCCACATAAAATAAATACAATAATAAAAAATGTTCCAAAGATAGCTTAGCCTACTACGACTGGGATAAATTTCAGGGGTGCGATACGGGAACCCACTAGACTTAAAGCCGAGTCTTATGTAGCCAGTTGTAGGACTGGCTCATACATGGGCACTGTGAACAAGTCTAGATGAGCCACCTAACAATAGAGCACTTTTTAGCACCAGACCTTTGCCTAGTCACTTCTCTCCCAAGGATTTGTTGCTGATTTCGTAACTTTGGCTTTGTCCTCATTTTAACCAATATCTCAGACCAGGGTGAACACATAGGCTTGACGACGATAACCTCAACACCTGGCGGGGTCTACTCGGCCGTTGTAGTTAAGTTACCTACGTGCTTGTCACAATAGAATTTAATCTACCATTCTAAAATGCCCAAGCTAACAATCCAACAGTAATAGAACATTTGAATAAATTCAATTACTGTAACCAAATACTAAGAAGCTGGTATCTGCCACTCACACAAAACTAAAAACATGTTAGTTTCACTACTGTATTGATAAGTAATTAAATTACTCGGTGGTAGTGTGATAAATTTCCTTGAGTAATAATACCTTCCAAGTAGGCTAATAAGTAAATATGTCTGATAGCTGATCCTTGTAACCATCCAAGCTTTCAAAATTAGGTGTCGGACCATCGGAAAATCTGTTAAATTAAGTTACGGTCATAAAATTAATAATTAATTATAACCAATATCACTATCAACTTGCTGTTATCTGGGCTTCTATTTTGGTAGGCTATTAACAGTTCGCTACTAGCCTACTGGCCATGTGCTGTCAACTATGCATGCTGAACCCTGTAGCATAGTAGGTTTGTTGGGCCTCTAGAGCTATCAGTTAACTTGTAGTAAATACAAAAAAATATTAATCGAAACACTGTATCACTATAAATATACTGGTATATGAACTTTGGGTTTCTATCCTACTAGGAGTTTATATGTGGTCCTATTGGCGATCGCCGCTAAAGCCGGGCAAAGGGCGCTACCTCGCTCTGCCTCTGCCCCTACCTCATCAATAGACTTAAGCGACAGATTCTTAAACCCCTGAAATAAACAGTTTGTTACAAATGTATTATAGTAGACTCCCTCTTATCAGGACACCTTTTAACCGGACTACACTCGGCGGAAATGACATCTCTTTAACTGGACGATTTTTATCAGCAAATCGGTTTAACCAGACTAGATCGGCAGGAAGTGGGTGGTACTGAAACAACTGTTCTCATTGGAAAGATTAGAGACCAGTGATCATGTGTCTATATACAATGCTCTCCTAAATTTAAGTCAAATAGTGTATACATGCATTTAAACGGTCTGCTTTAACGAGTTTTTGGGGACGTCGGTTTAACCGGAAAAACTGTTACCCGGACTGGCCTCGGTCACGAGAAGTCCGGATAAGAGAGAGTCTACTGTACTACTCTAAATAAATACGTGAACACATCAACTGATGTTTTAATGACAGTTGATCCGGAAGGAAATTATTTAAATATAATTTAAATTTTTGGGTCGAGTGGTTTTCTTTTGTGAGGAAGTTGTCTAAGTAAAATGTAAAGTGAATAGTAAACAAAAAATAGGACGTTTACTTTGGTTTGTAGGCTAATTTTTTGATTTAAAAAGATTTTGAGTACCCTGTCTTGCTACACACACTGATCCATAAAACTCCTACTTGCGCCACTTGGAATGGTATTTGAGTACCGGGTGGAAGGTGTTATTTTATCAGGTGGTGGAAGATGTTTTCCCCAAACCATAATATCCTTTTTTCTGTTCAAACTGGTTGTATTTGCAGATATCATTAGCAGTATGTGATCCACTGTGTTACACAGTTAAATGAGCTTGGCCATAGATGAAGCACATAATAATCAACAATGACAAGTCGAGAAATACCACAGCTCGAGAAATATTGTAGCGATGAATGTACAATACGCGATACAATACAAGTTTTTATTCATATTTATATTATTCTCATACACACACTTTGGTTTTTTGGAAAGTCTATGGTATTTTGTACACGTATTTACTTTTGACTAAAATTGTACTGGTGTTGCTCCATCAGTGCCGAGAGCAGAGCTAATTGAACGTGTTAATCGATCAGCACTTTTTCTCTCTGTGAATTTTTTGTTCTTTAGCATTCAGTAACATTAATTAAAATATGTCTTACTATGTCTTAAAATATGTCTTAAACAAATACATATATTTTGATTAGGGTCTAGGCTCTAGAAAGATTTACACATTGCTTGGTGGCCTACAGTCCCTCTTCATTGCCAGACTTTGTTATTCCTTAGCTGTTTCAATCGTTTAAAGTTTTGATAATATAAAAAAATAGGAATGCATGACAAACAGTGAATAAAAGCAAACAAATAGATAAAACAAAAGATTTTTGAATTTAGATTTTTTTGAAATGAATAAAAATATAATTTCAAGATTTTGTTAAAGTTAAGCTCCCGTGTCGAAATGAACCTCTATTTCAAAATATGTTTGTCATACATACAAAGATCCAGTATTAATAGACTGAGGCATAGACTACTAAGATAAATAAATACTTGACAAAAACCTGGCATCCAACTTGATATATTATCAACTTTTTTAGAACAGTATTGTAGCAATGGGAGTTTTTATACAACATTTAAATTTTTGCAATGTGTCGATTCTCGATACCACATATTCTTGGACATTCCTATGGGTGAAAACTTTTGAAAAACAATTTTGAAGCCATCAGTTATGTTATCACGGAAAACAAATCTTATTAGCCTACCAACTTAGTACTATTTTAGACTCAATCAAGATGTGATGCCATGTTCATAACAATAACAACAACAACAACAATTTCTTTGTTCAGCTTCAGCTGGTTGAGAACTAAACAAATGCCTGAAAAGTAGGCATATTACACCAGTGTCCCGTTAATACGTTACTCCCATATAGGCTTAACATATATAACCGGAAACTAGGCCTAACTCATATTACATCAGTGTCCCGTTAATACATTACTCCCGTAAAAAATAGGGGTAACATGTACGACCGGAAACTAGGCTTAACTCATATTACAACCGTCTTGTTAATACTTTGCTCCCATAAAAAAATAAGGGTAACTTAGGTTACCTGCCATTGTTAATGTACAATAAAATAAAACATTCATTTTAATGAGTAAATGGCAGTATACCTACTGCTGCGGCGATAACGTCGACACAGTGCATCTTCCACGATCACGGAACCATCCGTAGTTATCGACCTGGTTTCCTCATCAGCTGGACGCCATACTTAGTATTACAAAATACTTTCTTGTTTCTAACCCTTTTAAGATTTAAATACAACTGCCATTCTAACTTCTACCTCTGAAGAAGCCCCTGAAAATATCAGCTTAATGTGTACTTTTTATGTGTTCTCTTGACCTTCTGAGACTTCTTTATTCAGGTGAGTTAGTATCCTTCCTTTCTCCTCAATAATTATTCCACAGCCAAGATGCTTTTTTCCTTTAAACAAACACAAATTTAAATACAGTTACCTTTTTTCCCAAGAGGTGGTCCAAACTGGCCTGACGTTCGGATTAGCTGGACTAGCTGGATTAGTGTATTTTTTTATTTCCGGTGAATCAAATTCTACGTGCAAAATAAGATAAGTAAGGTAGTGTTTTTATTCTAAGTACCATTAAAATAGCTAAAATTGAAATAAGGAGCTGTAGTAGGCATTGTTAGTCTACATCGTACCTTATCTAGCACTAAAAAGTAGGTCATTATTTTATTTATATGTCGGTAATATCTTGATGGTTTTGTCAAGTTTTAAGGGCTGGGAAAGTATTATTATAACTAAGAAGAATTGCTACAACTAAGTTTAGGCATATTGGTAGAAAATATCCTATATAAAGTTAATGTTAAATCGGTAATCTATATAATTAATCCAGGATTCGGTAATCTAAGATAATTTGCAATACCTAACAACATTTCTCATTATTTGAGGGGTAACACTGCATTACCATGTAGCCCAATTAACACTTGTGTTTCACCGAAGCAAAGGACAACTTTTACAACATCGTATAATATCAATAAATATCCTTTTACTGAATAGGTCTAGTAGATAAATAAAATAAGTAGTGTTGTTCCTGATTAATTATAGCACTTATTCTATGGTGTATAAAGCAAGTTATAATGATTAGGAAGACTTATTTGTTAAACAACAAGGACTATAGTAGTAAGTAAAAATGATCACAGAGTACCCTTTTTTAAATTGCAAGCATTAATGAACAAATAATACATCATGCTTATCAAATTTGAATTGATTTAAGAGAAGAAGATAGCCGAGTTTTAACTTTTTCTATTTTCCTCAGTTTGAAGAAATGATGGATCGCCTGGAAAAGAACAGCGGGCATTCTGTCGTCACACAAGCGGAGGCCAAAGTGTTGTTGAAGGAGGACGACGACTTAATCATAGCTGTGTATGATTATTGGCTCAACAAAAGACTCCGTACAGTAAGTGTTTTTTGACTTGATTAAATTTAAATTTGAATTCCTTTGTGGAAAAATATCAAACATGTACTCTTATGAGGATAGGAGACCTAAATATGTTAAAAGATGATTTCCGCTTTGTCGAATCAACATCTCACATTTCACTGCCATTCCTCAACGCCAACAATGTTGTGCTTGTCTCTTAAAGCTATTGGACAATACTTGCGAGATAATTCTGTATTGTAATCCTCTTGTTTTGTCCACACAGAGTATTTATATAGTTAGTTAGAGCTAATACACTCCGCCATTGAAACATTTTTGAATTAGTTGGGTTAAGTTTTTTCCTTCATTGTTGTTAGTATTTGCTTTGGAAATGTGTTGCGTTGATTAATAAGCCTGGAAATAGATGTGATGACCAGGCAAACATGTGTTTGTACACCAGGTGTGTTTGTGTGTGTGAGTGTGGCGTGACCATTCCTCTTGGTCTTCAATGATATTAAATGTTGACATTGAAGGTTGGTTGAGTACTATTTCTCTCTATATTTGTGTTGTATTCAATAGCTTAAGTTTAGTTTTAATATTTTTATTAAATCTAAATGTGTCCCTAGCTTAAATGTAGGCCTATGACAGCTTTATGTAATTCTGAAATTATTTATTTCAAGACAGATTATATAATTTGCTTACTTTTAAGTTAATTACAAGAGCACAAAACCCTCTCTAAAATATATTCTAAATCGTATTAAGATGATTCCATATTTGTCACTAAGAAATTTTGTAAATTTTATTCGTAAGAGTTTAAGCATGGTATAAGAGTTAGAGGAGTTAAGTTTAGATTCTTATCGTTGTGAATAATAGCAGGCAAGACACATTCCGTAAATCTTAAATAATGGTGATAATTTATTCATTTTTCTGACAGACGACGCAACATTGCTAAGATCAGCTGATATGGTAGGCGTAGTTGTGGATTAGAGGGGATGTCATACTCCGACACTCCCGCATGAGTTTTCAGTGTGTGGTAATTGGTTTTTAGGTTTGGAATTTGTTAAAATGTGCCGTAGTCTGTGAGACGAATCATTACAATTTGAGTTTTTTCAGTTTATTCCATGGCCATCTTTGAGATGAACATTAGTATTAGTGTGAGGCCAGAAAGTGATGTATTGTATAAAGATAGTATAAACAATAATACTATTTCAAAGACATTTATAAAATTAGGACTACTTGGAATTTGGTATGCAAAATTTAAATAAAAGAGTTAGAAACTGATACAATTGATTTACTTTTGTACAAGAAACATAGTAGTTTAGTTTTTATTTAAAATGTATTTTCAAACAAGTAGCCTCACAAATGATTTTGATTTATAATAACAAAAATATGAGATATGAAGCATAGATTCTCTTCTAAGGCCTACCTTTAAAAACTCAATAGACAAATCTTTTTTCATTAGGTTGTATGAATAGCCTCCGGATTGTAAATACAAACTAATGATATGGTTTGATTACCAATCCATTTATTGCACTCAACAAGTTTTGACCTGCTATGAGGTCATCATCAGGTGTGTACAAGGATAATATGATGTCTTCACATGAAGGTCATCAGGCTTAAAAGTTTTTGATACATAACATATATATGCATACACATACGGTCGATAAAATAAAATAGTAAACACAAAAAGCGGACTCCTGTTGGTAACACGGAAGTTGAGTCTCTTGCCTGGAGTCTTTATTACGTTTATTGGTACCGGTACTTAAAGTCACCTAGCCACCCCCAATCACTCAGTTGCATCTTGCAGCATCTCAAGATGTCCTATTCTTGACTCAAATGTTGCACAGGAATCATTTAGATCTGTCTCTGGTTACTACCTTTTTTATCTCTCATCCGGTTATCTTTAAATATTGGAACTCTTATTTTACTAAGATACTTTATTTTTGTACCTTATCTAGTTTTTCCAATATCTACTTCAACTGTGGTGTTAACGTGGTTTATAAAATGCTTGGGTTTGTTTTTAAAATGTTATAGGGAGTATTGTAAAATCCTGGCGCTTTCCAGCTCCCCATTTGCCTAAACATTTCCAACTTCTGAGTCTCTATAGCTGTAAAGTGCTCTCTCCATCATCCTTGCTGCGACTGGCTTCCTGTTACTTGATCTGTTTGTAAATGATAAGTCATTTCAATTATAGAGCTAAACCTCTTTTTACCAGCTTCTTATTAATATCATAGAGATCCTCACTACCTGCAAGGAATCTCACCTGGCATTTTTGTGTAGAGTATTCCCCCGAATTTGGGCTCTAGTTTTGCTATTGTTTAGTGTTGATATAACTCTAGGAGTTCAAAGCCTCAAATATTTTCTTAACATGAAATGGAAACGTTTTTACTCACTTCACTTCATATCCAAGTTTATTCAGTCATTTCTCCTCTTTCTAAATTGATCATATTTGATTATCATTTGATTATTATTGACTTGATAAATAGCTCGTCTCCCATTAGGTTTGTAAAAAAAATTCTTAATTTCTAGTATATATTCAAATTGAGTTTGCACAAGGTTTAACAGATGTGTTCCAATTATTCCCAAGTTCTTTATGGGTATAATAAACAGTCTTCTCTTGGCCAACATTGCAATTAAGTTACAAAATGCACACTGCCAGGTGATATGTAAACAATGGACTGACATATCCATATCAGCCTTGTTGAATGTGCAACATGAAAAATGTTAGATTATTTATTCAAAGAATAGTTGTGACTGTATTATTTTATCTAGTTTTAGCAAATTTCCGTATAGGTTTCCCTATGATGAAATTTGGTTTGAAGGTGTAGGCCTAAGGCGGGATAAACTTGAATGAGTTCGCAAACCATCATGATCGGGCAATGTGAACGGGGTTTTATGGGGTGAAAATTGTTTTTTCATATTTTTCACCCTCAAAACACATTTCCCAATATGTCTCTAGATAATTTTAAAGAGCTAAAAAAAAACCAAATAATTAAGTATAGCCTACCAAAGTGTTTTAGTACGGTTATTGATTACATAGAAAATTGAAAAAATAGCAAATATAAAATTCCCATGTTATTCTCATGAAGAATGTTGTAAAATGTTGTAGTTTGCTTGTTTATGGAAATATTTTGATCAAACTTGGCAAACTTATTTATTTTATACTAAGCTACTAATATTTTACTAAAAAACACACTTTATCAGCCTCCCAGTAACAGCAAACCTGGATGGCCAGACTTACTGATGAAAGCTTTTCATTTTAGAGGAAGCTATACATTTTAGATGGCCAGACTTACAGATGGAAGCTTTTTATTTTAGATGGCCAGTCTTACAGATAGAAGCTTTTCAAACTAGTTAGGTAGTCATACAAATTAGGGATCGTCAAGTCTCGAAATTTCGGGAAATTTTAAATCTCATTACACGAGACGAGATTTCTTTTTGGCCGAAATTTTTATCGAGACGAGAATAAAAAAAAAAACAAAAAAAATAAATATTAAAAACGCCTGCAGAAAGTCAATGCAATACCCGCAATACGGGAGCGTGTTGTAGTTGCGTTTCCTTTGCAAAGGCGCTCTTATTTAATTAATTCTTCAAATGTAAATATTACTTTAAATATTTTAAAAACATTTGAGAAGTTTTGTTAAGTGTTAGCAGTGTGATGAATGTTTTATTACTGTAAAAAAAGTCAAAACAAGTAACTATTTTATAAAAATTAATATTTTATTTTATGATTTATTTTATTTTAGGATAAGTTGAACTCTATCCTAACTGATATCACTATGTTTCCTAATCGTAGGCATTTTTAATAAGTTAGGCGTGATTAATAAAAAAATGTTATGCTGATGTTTTTTAATAAAATATTTGTAAATATTCTTGCCTATTATCATTATTTTTGTATTTAAACAGTCATCTAACAATGTTAGAAAATCAGGTAAAAATTCCGAACGTGCATTTCTCGTTGTGTATGAGAAGGGAAATCCGGTCTCGATCTCGTCTCGAAATTTTATGAGAAATAAAAAATCTCGTCTCGTCTCGGCTCGAACTAAAAATCCAATCTCGTCCATCCCTAATACAAAAAAAACTTTTCATCTTAGATAGACAGTCTTACAAATTGAAGCTTTTAATTTTAAATACCCAGTCTTACAGATGGAAGCTTTTCATTTTAGAGGAAGCTATTCATTTTAGATGGCCAGACTTACTGATGAAAGCTTTTCATTTTAGATAGACATTCTTACAAAATGGAAGCTTTTCATTTTATATAGCCAGTCTTACAGATAGAGGCGTAAAACGTCAGTTTTTGCTGGATTTCATTTCAGCGTTCATGTTTTTTTAGGTATTCTTTGAGAGCCTTGAAGCTATTAGCAAGTGCCATCTATCTTTGTGTTAGAATGTACAAACTTTATTGAGCAAATACTGTGTTGAGTTATATCACAGGGCACTAGCACTGAATTCTAAAGGTACACAGGAACGGCGCTCTCAGGCTTTTCCCCAGAAAGTGTGACAAATCTTAATAACAATTGACAGTATCTGCTGCCTATTAACACGTTCAGTGCTGACTACATCAATTGATGTAGTTGCGCAACCTCCACTACATTAGTTCAGTATGAGCTCAGCCATTGCTGGGGAATGTTAAAATCCTTGCTAGCCTGTAGCTTAGAATGTGAGCTTTATTTTGGTGTAGGTTGGTACTAAAATTTCCGGTAAAATCCCGTCTGACAATGCTTTTGTCCCGGTTTCGGGGATCTTCTCTCTTCAAGCCATATTACAAAGCCACTGACTACTGATCCAGGCAGTGCTGCTACCTTTGGGTGTTTTAGGGAACTACATCCAATCTCGGGGTAACGCAGTACAATCGCCGCTGCTCTTTTGTTATTTTTCCGATTGAAATATTTGAATGCCAATTGCATTCGCTGTCACGGTACCGCGCCGGGGCTTCGCCCGGGCCTCGCCGCCAATAGCGAGCGCCTGTTGGAATGCCTGCTGCACTGAACGTGTTAAATGAATGGAACAGAGGATTTCAGTTCTCTAAGTAGTACCAGTTAAGGACACAACAGTAAAGCCTCTATGAAAATCCAAATTATAATGAAAGGGCTCTCAGGGTGATTGTTACCAAGTAAATGTGATTCTTTTCGTGGCTTTACTACAACTGCTTTATTTCTGGTTACTAACATCAGACACTGAAAGTAGCCCCTGTTTGGATTGCGAGTCCACATATTACATTTGTTATAAATTCAAAGTATAAGGCAAGTTAGTCGTGTGAGACAGTACTATTGTTAACACATTTTATGTAATTTGGAGTGATAATCGGAGTGATAATTCTTACGTTTTTGCCCAGCCTATATGAGTAAGCCTTAACTGCTATTGATGAGTTTCTGATGTTAATGAACACTTGATGTTGTAGCAACAAGCACTGATTCCCTGTGTGAAAACCGAAGCTCATAGGGGAAGTAACAGCAACAACAACCCTTACCTTGCCTTTCGACGAAGAACAGAGAAGATGCAAACTAGGAAGAACAGGAAGAATGACGAGTCAACATACGAGAAAATGGTCAAATTAAAGAGGGACCTCAGTCGAGCTGTGACATTGCTGGAGCTGGTTAAACGCAGGGAAAACTCCAAACGAGAACTGCTTCACCTTACGGTCGAAGTGTTTGAAAAGAGGTAATTTATCTTTCTACTATCTTAAACATTATTTTCTAGTACGTAGACACAAACGGGGATATAAATACACAGAATGAAAGTAAATGAACTGTCCATGACAAGACTAAGTTGAAATACATCAAAGTTGTCTTTGATTTACCACTTGTCACCAGCCAACTTTCAATTAAGTGTTTTCGTGCAAGATATTCAGGATTATGCCGTGTCGGGGGATGACGATGATAACGTTTTCTGAACCAAGGGGGGCCATTGTTTTCATGACTTTATGTTTTGAAGATGATAATAAATATGATCACAATATTAAAGTGTATTATTTTTGCAACACTAACTCACTGAACTTTGGAACAATTTAGAAATATACATTTAATGTTATAAAAGAAAAATTAAGCTGTAGGTCTTGAACTGGTTATCGTTTATAGCTAAACATTCCCACGGGAACCTGGAACAGCTTTCAAAATCCAGGAAGAAACCTGGAATTTCAATTTTAAAAATTAGTATACAGTAGGATCTTGTTAATCCTGCCCTATATGGGGATTAGTAGGGCCGGATTATAGAAAATGCCGGATTAGTGGAAATGCATCAGAAATTGAAGTAGTTTTACAATAAACAACATTTTTATTAAAACGAAAACTACGATAACTATGATAACAATCATTTGAATTTCTGTACAGTATAGGCCTAATGAAATGTTGTTTAATGTATTACTGTATTGTGAAAAAGAAACAGTGATATGAAACAGCAAACAACAGTACAATACACTTTCAGACAATGAACAAAGATAATCACTAAATACTGTACGTGTACAAAATGAAAATTACACAACTGTAGGCCTACTGTACACTTTACATGTAAGACCTACTTAAACAACAGCAAAATAGTTTGTAATATTTTTCTGCTTCTTTGCATTAAAAGAAAGTTTTAAAACATTTTCCTGGAGCCTCTTTAGTGTCATAATATAGGAAGCTGAAGCACCGTTTTCTTCCTCCCAAGTTATTGCAGTTGCGTAGGCACAGAGCGCCGAATCCGTGTTGACTGTGTGTGCAGCTGCAGCTGTACTGGCTCCGCCCACTCCGCCCTCCTCATCCCCCTCCTCCACGTCACTGCCGTCTAGAAGATCTTCGATGATCTCATCGTCTGTCATGATTTGACACTGCTCGTCGTCTGCTCCTTCTAACCAGGCGGTAACATTGGCTGATGTCAGATCTTCTGGATCGTCTACTACACTAACTGTTCGGCTATTGCTTCTTTCAAACCATTTAGCTCAGGATCTGTTGTCACTGTCGTTTGAGGATTTGATTGTCTTCTGTAAACCTCTAATAAATCAAGAGAAGCCACAACTTCGCCCATGAACAAACATTGTTTTTGATGCAAGTTTTTCCAATGCGCTTGCAAGATTAAAAACAACATCTTTCAGGTTGGTTTTCTTTAGAGATGTAACAACACTCCCCTCTTTTGACAAAACACTGTACAACAGGGTTTTTTTGTTATTTGTTTTTATAGTTTAGATCACATTTTGGTCCATGGGCTGGAATATCGGAGTTATATTTGGGGGCAAAAATAAAGCAGTGATTTTTCCATCCCTACTTTTTAACTCATCCTCATCTGGATGTCCAGGACAATTATCAAGCAACAAAAGTGCTTTTTGAGGCAGTTTCTGTGTTTTCAAAAACTTTTTTACTGATGGAACAAAAGTTTTATGAAACCATTCCGAAAAAAGAGTTTTTGTCATCCATCCCTTTGTCGAGTTTGTGTATGTAACTGGCAACTGTGTGTTTTTGAACGCCCTTGGCTTTTTGACTTTCCCAATAACCAGCAATTCTAATTTAAGCGTGCCACTAGCATTACAACACGGCATAAAAGTTACTCTATCTTTGGCCAACTTGCGACCTGGGGCACTAGCTTCCTCTCTATGAACGAATGTTTGTTTCGGCAAAAGACGCCAAAACAGACTACTCTCGTCAGCATTGTAGATCTGATCTGGGCCTAAGTCCATTTCACCACGATTTCTTTAAATTTTTCAACAAAAGGCTCTGCAACTGCTACAACACACGAAAGCCTTTCTCCAGTCATTGTTAGCAATCAAATTCCAAAGCGTCGTTTATCCAGCCACCCAACATTGGCACAGAAGTCGTCCTTTTTCATAATTTTGTTATAAAACAGTTTTGCCTTTTTCCTTATAATATCGCCTGAAATTGGCGTGTGTCAGCTCCTTTCTTGCATGAACCAATTATAAAGTGTAACTTCTACTTGCGGAAATTCGCCCATTTTTAATGTATTTCTTACCTTTGAAGATGATTCACTACTCCTCTTAAAGGCTCGTCCAAACCGAAGCGGGAAAGTGGCGGGAGCGGTGCGGGAGCGGGAAGGGGGCGAATGACCGGCGGGAACCAGCGGCAGCGATACGTGGCGGGAAAGAGGTAGCCCACACCGAAGCTGCAGGCAGCGGGAAGCGGGACGACTCCTCAGTTCATTTCCATCTTAGCTACAGAGTGTTCGGTTGTGTTAAGTGAATGTTTGTATTTTATGCGTTCATGTCATGAATCGTAATGTACAAGAAGAAGAAGCTTTGCTTTTGCTAGCAACAGCTGAAGATAAGATGAAGCTGCAAGACGGCGATCTGTTTAGGTTCATGAAATCAATCTAAACGGTCATTTATTTGGCGTATTTGGTTACCCTTATGCCGGATCCAAAGACGAAAGATGGTTTTATATTTATTTTAGGATGACCATCGCGTGTTTTGATGAACTGTTTAATGAACAACGCACTGGAATAATCCTCAGCCATCTTCTCAAACGTCTCGGTACCAAATAAGTCATGTACCCATGTGTTCCTGCGGCGGTACGAGCCAGAAAATCCAACATGTTTCAAACCGGCGGGACGATCGAACAACGCTGCGGGACGGCGGGAGCGGTACCGCTCTAGTGTGGGTGCTCACATCTAACACCATGTGTTTTAAAATCCCGCACGGGAACTCGTCCCGCCACCTTCCCGCTCCCGCCGCTTTCCCGCTTCGGTTTGGACGGGCCTTAAAGAATGATTCGATTTGCTCCTTCTTCTTCTTTATGTCGTGTATAGTTGCACGGCCGATATTGTATTCCTTAGACAGATGAGCCAACTTTTCACCCTTTTCCAAACGTTTTAAAATCGTATACATTTTATCTAAAGTCAGCGTTACATGCTTACGTTTTCCCGACATCGCACTACACTTGTAGATTGTATAGTATGTACACTGTACTCACAACACTGCCTTCACTCAACTCACACGCCACACACTGTACGCAACTACCCGTAGCAGACATCAGTCGTTAGTGTACTGCTGTTGTGAAATGTGGACACTCGCGTTTTCAAGTCTAGACATGAAAATTTACTGACTCATTGGCGGAAACACAGTGCCGGATTACTGGACGTGCCGGTCTAATGAACGGCCGGATTATAGAGACTCTACTGTACACCCTTTGCAGTAGATTTTTACCATCCGATCTTGGGATCCTGACCTTTTTTGCTATCCGACCTTGCTATAGGTTGAGGCTACTCTTCAGTGTTCAGTGGCCATTGTTAAGTGTTTTTTCTATTGCAGGTATCAAGCCCAGGATTACACAGGATCTTTATTGGCTGAAGTTTCGGCTATGAAGACTGTACGACCTGCGTTTGCACCTCTCTACACAAATCAGTACAATCACGGAACATCATGGGCTAAACCAGTTAAGGTATTGTTACAGATCTGTTTTATAAGCTAAGACTTTGCTGATACAACAGAAATACAAATAAGGGATACAATATCCAGATATATGATTCTGATTCATTAAGTATACAGTCCAAAATAAAACACTAAAAATGGTCAAATCTAGGTTTTTGTGATCTACGCTAAGTCTGTAAACTAAGCGACAACTACTGAATATTTACAGTGTTACTTTATAAACTAGTTACAGTTGTTAATAATTCAGCTAGTTAGTGAATCTTTTTGTAAGTTTACCCACCAACATGTGTTAAAAGATATGTTCTGATCAATTGTTAAAATAATTGTGGTTCGGAAGCAAGCATCAATCCTTTTTACTCTAAGCTTTTATCAATCATTTAACTAGCATCATATATCTTATTTTTTTATGATCATGGTTAATCCGCAGCGTGGTCTATCCACTCGTGGATAATCTGGAGTCTACTGTTTTATAAAATAAGTATCTTGAAACTCCACTCTATTGCTACAATAATGGATCGTGAGCCATTACCCAAAATCCATTAGTATCGTGTATCGATGGTTAATGACGCTTATTGTTAAATACTAGTCGCATCAACTTTGGTTGAGTATGAAGTGTCAAAACATCTCTGTTGCAGGTCAAATATAGATTCCAAATCCAAGACGCCTTTAACTCTAGTTTGGATTAAAGAATCATATAGGATGGAGAGCACACAGCTAACTCACATGAAGAAAGGTTGCAGACGAGTCACAGCACAAATTAATTATATATACACAAAAGACTTGATGTTTCACCTCTTCCAGAGGCTTCTTCAGAAGTAGATGGCTGTTACATAGACAACCAAAGAAGCCTTTGAAAGAGGCAAAATGATCAAGTCTTTTATGTGTACAATAATTTATTTGTGCTGTGACTCATCTGCAACCTTCCTTCCTTCCTGTGTGCTCTCCATCCTATATGATTCTTTAATCCCCACTAAATGCATCTTCCTAAAAACTTAACTCTAGTTTTGAATTTTTTGAAAAGGAATAGTATCTAGCTTACCTGAGAAATTAAGCTTAACTTCATTCCTTTAAAATTTCCTTATTTTAATCAATTGGGTTTCCTTTCAAATTTTACTGGTGTTTGTGTTTCAGGATGAATATATACCACGCAAAGAAAAAAGACAGTACAAGAAGAGAAAACATAAAAACATCAACTCGAGTTTAGTGATGAGCGAAGTCACCGGTGTGGTTTCATCTGGAGACGACGACGGACTAAATATCTCCCCTGCATCTCCTGCACACGACGACGCACCATTTGCGTTCAGGCGGAAACGTCAATGTCTTTACCATGCGGTATGTTACACTGGCATATTTAAGATTCAAAGATTATCAGTTTGTTCTCTAAAAAAAGGTTAAATAATCGTGAACTTGTAATGTGGATTTAACTCCTGCATCGGTTTCTCACAGATATTATAGATATTTGATCGTGTTTTATATTTGAGATTGTGTAAGATTGTTGTTTGCGCAGCCTCTAACGACTGGACTAGGCAACTGGCCTTGGTGTAACCGGGAAGACGGAGGACTAGCAGATCAAAGGTACAGGTTCAGCTTGACCTCCATCACCCACCCGACAAACACCAGCCGTTGTGTGGGGTTGGCAAGGAGAAGAGTCGGGAGGGGTGGCAGGTATGCAATCACGCTTAAACTGTCATGTATACTTGTAAACAAAGTAATGGAGTTCTGTATTGCAGGCCCCTAATACAAACGTTAATTTCCATAAGGCTAACCATAAGGTTCCATAATGTTCTTTTTATGTTACCACTTTTACTTTAAAAGAAGAGGACTAAAAATGTAGTTAATTTAGCGAAGCTAATATGAAGCAAGAACTGGACACCCTTAATGTTCAGGAATTGGATATCGTAAGTTAATGGATTTAGAAGACATCGCAAGAAATACGCCTTGTATTGAAGGCCATTTGACATATGACCTTTGTTACAGAGTGATCCTAGATAGGGCTGGACCTCCTATGGATGACTTCTGGGCCTCTCAGGACTTTACGATTCATGATAACATCAAAGAAAAACTACCTGTTAGTGAAGAAAGGCTCACCGATGAGAAACCTCCAATGGATGATAGGTCCTTGCTATCTGACCTGTTCCAAGACTGGTTTGTTTTCTCATTTCTATTCCTTAAAAATAACGTCTTTATTACAGGGTGTCCACACAATGGGAATCTCAAGAAAAACCAGACCCATACACTCACGCTAATATTGAAAATTAATACTCCTGCCACAGCAAACCTGCCGACAAATTGAATTTCCATTTGCCTGATTGGTTTTTCACAAAAATATTTTCTTTTAACATGTTAGATTTATTCGCTATTTAAAACAAAGGTTTAACGAGTAAGTTACTTAGGTTTGCTGCTAGGCCTACAGGAGAGCTTGTTAAGTTGTTTTTTTATATTAAAAGCTTAGTATGAAATAAATAAGTTTACTTAATTTCTTAAAAAAATATCCATTAAAAAGCAAACTACAACAGTTTACTTGCTCTCTATAAGAAAAACGTAAGCATTTTAAATTTAATGTAATTTAGGAATTTTCTCTGTAACCACCAGGGGTCAATGAAGCATACAACAACACTTCAATACAGTAAATTATTTGCCTTTTTTAACAAATGAAAAGGTTAAATTCACTGTTGTCCCAATGGTGGAGACTCGACTAAGGAAAGGACATTGGTTGTGATCGAATCAAGTCTTAAAATCTTATCTAATTATCTACTAATTGTAAAAAATAACATTTGTTACAATATATTTTGTCAAATTAGGCTATAATCTCCTTAAAATAACATGACTAGGTCTTCAGCAAGAATGACATTAAACATTCTATTCATAGTAAAATGTTTCTTGTAAATAAACAAATAATCAGTCTAAACAATTACACTTAGCAGGGAGATTATTTGGTGACTAAGATGACTACAAATAAATAAATAACATGTATATATTTCTAAACAAGCAAGTACATTTATAACAAATTTAATAAGATTATAAGCTTACATAATGGCTCGGAAAAAAGACTCACCTAATTTTGAACCAAACTGCGTACTGCAGATGTTATAGCTGCTAGTTTCTAAACCTAGTCTTAAATTAATCAAAATCACACCCAATCTGTCGACTACATGGTTGCGGTGTCCTACACTGCTCAGTATGGGTCTGAGGTCTTCTATAATGCTACCTATGAGTAGAGATCCTCTAGAAAAAGCTCAATTATTTTCTTATACAAGCTTAGCATATACAAAAAGTTAAGTTGCATTAAATATGCAGTGGGAATTCTTTAAGTACGGTACTGTTGAGAAAATACAGAGTCAGTTTTGTGGACACCTTGTGATTTGCATTATATAATTATAATCATTTTTCGATTGTGATTGTAGGATTCCCCAGTCTTGGTCTTGGGAAATTTGTTCAATTGGCAAGGATAAAGACTCAAGTTTCCAGTTGAATTATAGTTTGTGCCGAAGACGAATTACTGCAATGCATTTGAAACGTCTGCCACTATCTTCGTCAATTCATTCTTCCTTTCCAAATACTAAGATTCAACAGTGTTTTATAATGTTCAATTTCCTCAATTTGGATGGATTTTTTTGATGTGGTATAAAATCAATAATTTTTATGAAAATATTACCAAAGTGTGTCTCAAAAAATTTGTTTTTGGAAAACCAAGGCATGTCCATAATTTATCAATGCGATAGGACTTAAAACTCAAATAAGTAATTGAAAGCTAATGGGCTCAACTGATTTAAAAATGTAAGAAGTTTTAAAATAGGTTGTTAATCAGTGATCTTTTTTTTGTATAGTTTTGTATAGTATAGTTTTATGAATGTGTTTTCTAGGCCTCATTTCCGTCCGAAGTCGCCGCTGAAGACCGATCCCGAGGAGGAGGAAGATGTAACGGATGTTTTAAGTGGCAACTCTCTATCATTGGCTGTGGAGGACTTAACGGAGCCTTCGTCTGATCTCTTACCTGTAAGTAAAAGCCTACAACTCAGGGTTAAATATACACTGTCTCGTATCAGCATAGCTACGTTTGAAATTATTCTAATACTGTAGAACACCTAATAGAGGAGAAGATGTAAAGACATGGCGAGGAAATGTTACACTGATTACATGAGAAAGGTTGAAGACGATATTCCAAGGAACATAAAATCCTTCTGGTCACATGTTGGCAGTCTTAAACGCTGCCCAACATTCCATCAAATATGGCCCTTGATTCTAGAGTGGCCAAGTCTGCGGGGGACACGTGAGCTATTTGCAAACCACTTCTCATCTGTCTTCAGTGATGCGTCCCCTGCTGTCCCTTCCTTTGACTTTCGTTGGAACTTCTGCATCTCCCAGTGTTTGTTTTCTCCAATGGACGTACGGCGTAAGCTTGAAAATCTTGATCCCAACAAAGGAGCTGGTCCAGACAATATTCCTCCTCTTATACGTAAACACTGTGCACATATTCTTGCACCCCACTTTTTTATACTGTTCAAGGCTCTGCTGAGAACCGGAGTATTTCCTGACAGTCTTAAAATAGGATTTGTCGTCCCCATTTTCAAGACAGGCGATCGGAATGATGCCAAAAACTACAGACCCATTGTAATTTTGACTGCAATAGCGAAGGTCTTCGAGAGCATAGTACTGGATTTTCTTTATTTTAATTTGCGTAAATGCATTTCTCCTGAGCAACCTGGCTTCCTTCGCTCCCGATCCACCATCTCCAACCTACTTGTATTTCAAAATGTTATCATGGGTGCCTTCGTTGACTCCTGCCAAGTAGACTGCATTTATCTTGACTTGTCAAAGGCATTTGACAAAGTCAATCATCGCCTTCTGATAGCTAAGCTTGGTGGCTATGGTGTTAGTGGCAAATTCTAGTCAGTACTGTAGAATCTTACCTTCCCTAGCTCTAGTCATAATTAATCGTTCCTGTTGTTGTTGCCAAGTATCACCACTCATGCTATTTTTTTGGTAAATCTAATTTTTTGCCACATTGTATTATTTATCAAAAACTATTTTCACTGCTTCCAATTTTATTGTTATCGTTATTCCTTGTCGCTTTTGTTATTTTTGTTATTGTTATTGTTATTCAAGATTGTTATTTATATAGTATCTATTTACTTATTACTTGTTAATTGTTATTCATTCTATCACCACCACTTGTGGTTCTTGCTGTTACCACTTTACTGTACTACTTTTACTGTACCACTTTTACTGTTGCATGAATTTTGCCATCTTACAACATTGTATCCATTCTTGTTAACTGGTGTAAACCGTTGGAAAAAAAATAAATAAATAAATTAGGGATGGTCAAGTCTCGAAACTTTGGGAAATTTTCGGGAAATTTTAAATCTCGTTACACGAGACGAGATTTCTTTTTGGCCGAGATTTTTATCAAGACTGGAAAAAAAAATTAAAAACGCCTGCAGAAAGTCAATGCAATACTTGCAATACAGGAGTGTGTTGTAGTTGCGTTTCCTTTGTGAAGGCGCTCTTATTTAATTAATTCTTTACATGTAAATATTACTTCAATTATTTTAATAATATTACTTTGATAACATTTGAGAAGTTTTGTTAAGTGTAAGCAGTGTGAGGAATGTTTTATTACTATAAAAAGTCAAACCAAGTAACTATTTTATCAAAATTAATATTGCTTTTATTTTATGATTTATTTTATTTTAGGATAAGTTGAACTCTATCCTAACTGATATCACTATGTTTCCTAATCGTAGGCATTTTTAATAAGTTAGGCGTGATTAATAAAAAAATGTTATGCTGATGTTTTTTAATAAAAGATTGTAAATATTCTTGCCTATTATCATTATTTTTGTATTTAAACAGTCATCTAACAATGTTACAAAATCAGGTAAAACTTTTGAACGTGCATTTCCCGTTGTGTATGAGAAGGGAAATCCCGTCTCGATCTCGTCTCGTCTCGAACTAAAAATCCAATCTCGTCCATTCCTAAAATAAATAAATAAACACCGTCTATTCACCCCTCGATAATCAGAACCCTCAAGTAAACGTGATTGTTCCCATCCCTCAAAAGATACATTGTACAAAAAAAATGAAAAAAATGTACTGAGCAATTTAGAATTGTTTTTACTGTACTGCACTGGATTGCAAAGAAACATAAGTAAATTTCAACTTGGACTCTAGACAGAAGATCAGGGAAATTCAATTTAATCATACTTTAAAACTTAATTCTTTAATACTTTAAATAATTAAAAATTCCTTATTCAAAATAGTGCCTGTACTGTGGACCAGCAACTAACAATGTGTTTAAGGTTCTGGTCTGGTAATATTGAGGTAGTGTCTGTTCTTTAATTTATTTTTTTCCCCCGTAGTTGAATTTATTCTTTTTTAGCTTACATTTATAGTTCATTTGCTATGTGTAAAGGTTTGTTTGTAGTTTACATCGCAAGTGTATTACCTAAAGAATTAATGTTTTTATGTTTGTTCACAGGTTCATCTCAATCTAAATGAGCTTTTCCCCAACCTGCCACTAAGAGAGTCTGATGACGATGACAGTGAGCAACAACTCTCAGAACGGACTGAGACAACATCGTCCCAGACTGACAACAATTCCCAGACCGACACAGCATCGTCGGAGCCCCAAACTCTTAGCCAGGATTCTGGAATCGAAATGGCAACCAAGAACTTAAAGAAAGCCTGCATCGACAAAAAAGAGTATCAGAGTGGTTCGTTGTTAGATCGATGGGCGAGGTTCGAGAGTCCTCCTCCAGAACCGGTCAAGAAGATCAAGCCGCCAGTTGTCTTGGAGCCTTTCGTAGGAGATAAATCTGGAAGTTCAGCATTTAGAACATGCAATGCGTGGACGGACACGAGGCTCGGTAACCTGTCTGAAGCCAAAGCTGTGGTTACGTGTAGAGTGTCCTCACAATCGGTCAGTGTAGAGACTGTAGAAGAGATTTCCCATCTTCCTCCAACCCCTCCCAAGGAAGCACAGACACCTCCACCTCTGGCATGCATCCATGCCAACGGGCCAATCAACTCTGAATGTGAGTAATCCAAGGTTGTCTCATAAATTTTAGGTTAGTTTTGGTCCTTTGAGTGGTTATTAATGTTCTTGTAAGAAAAAACAAGTAAGTTTTTTTTTTACTGAAACAATTTTCAGTCTTTGTTTATCCTTAAGTAATTATACAGGGTGTTCAAAAAAGGTGGGGACATAGTTTACCTTGTGATTCCTTGGGTCAAAATAAAGGAAAATCAGGAATAACATTTTTTCCAAAATCGCTTTGTTAACCAAATATACGCCATTTTGTATTTTTTACACAAACATTTTTATTTTTAAATATTTTTAGCCGATCCTTATGAAACTTGGTATGTAGGCTATGTTAAGGTAGAAGGGACCCGTGTTAGAAAAAAAAGTTAATCTCGATTCAACCTCAAATTTCTATTTGGCAGCCATTTAAAATTTTAAAAATTAAATTACTCGAAAATGGCTGGTTTTATGAAAAAATGTCAAGAACACTTAAATATAAGATTTGTAATTGTCAGTTAATGTGTGGATGAAATTTTGTAATTTTGTGGTGTTGGCATGAATGATTTCTGTTTGTCGGGAGGATGGTTAAATTGTCTTCTTTTGTTATGGATAGGATCAAAGAAATTGATTATTAATTTTGATTTTAGATTTCAATTTGATTGGTTTTGATATTGTATTCAATTAAATTAATCTAATATTCCATTTGAAGTATGGTTGTCAATGTTACCAACCACATATCTTTGGATATATACATAGGCCTACTCTATAGATAGTTGCGGCAAAGGCTATTTTCAATAATAGTCAATATTTTCTTTTGAACTGGTTTTATTTTGAGTCGTCTTACTAGATTTTATTTCCAGTGGCAAATAACCGACACCCATCGTCAAGACATTACACGCCATATAGAAAAAAGAACAACCATAATTTACATAGTCATGGGATGAACAACAAGTTAATCATGAGGATCCCAGAAAATGCGTAAGTTTAATTCTTAGTTTTTACGTAACCTAAAAAATTAGCAGATGGACCGAGTTGGTCTATTTTAATCAAATAAAAAACACTAATTCCCACTTCAATTTGACAAAGTAAGTAATGAGACATTCACATTAAATTTATATACATATTTACTTTCTCCTCCTATACATAGTACCTTTATGGAGAAAGTATTGTTTTTGTAAAGATTTTTTAGTTAGGCCTACAGTTTTGGGTAGAAATATACGTTTTGGGTCCCTCTGAACCCAAAAAAGTGGTTTTCAAATTAATGATTGATGATTTTTAATAGTGATTTTCCCTGAAAACCCATTAAATAACAGAATAACGGATTTTTACAAATTACGGTTAAAACGATTTTGATTAAAATGTAATATATTACATTCTTTTTAACTCGAAACAAAATTGCAACCCTCTTTGCTGTAAAACTTACGGTTCAAAACCAAAAGTTATTGCAACCGTAGTGATTTTCCCCATAAAATGTCAGTTGTTACTTCCACTGTTTGCCCATAATAAGAGTTGACAAGCTAATGGGATATGTATGTGCACAGAGATGTTAGATACAGAGGAAACTAGTTTATAAGCTGGCCTTGCGCTTTCAGCTCTAGTGTGTCATGCTAGGGAAACTTACTTGTGACAAGCAAGGAAGTTCCCATCACGAAGGGCATAGGTACTTCCTCCTGCGTGAGCGTTGCAGTACATGATGGTGAGGGGTTAGTTTGATATAGCTTTGTTGTACATTTTTGTAAAATGGTGTTACCGTGGAAATAAACGAGTTGGTGCGTCGATGGCTCAGTCGGTAGCGTCACAGACTTTGGGCCCAAGGCAGCGATATCGTGGGTTCGGATCCTGGTCACTACCGCAAACATTTTATCAGCACAGTTCATCTTTGTACTGTATTGGCTCGCCCCTTGCTTGCTGGATACATTCCACGCACGAGCAAATAGACTGTGGACGGGCAAATGCATGGTTAAAAGAGGCAGCCAACCTCTTAACCTTCTGTCGGGCACATTGATTTTCAAACACCAAAGGGCGCTCACGGAAGTTACCTTCAGGAGTACAAAAACTATACAATAATGAGTAAAACACATTTTAATAACAATAACACTGTAAGAAAAACATGTTTTATGATTTATTACACTATTACTTAAGTTGTATATCAAATAGAAAATGTTATAATAAAAAAAATGTGTAAGTGTTGTGGATAAAAAAGATTTACTTTTTGTACTTATACAGTACTATCGTATATTAGAAAACAAATGTTAATATTGTATGACATAAAAAATGTACATAGTCTAATAAAAATCATTATTTTGTACAAGGACAACTCATTCAATCAAAGCTCTTAGACAAAAATTGCATCAGTGTATGAAATAAAAACACCTATGGTAGCCTATTATAAAAAAAAATAATTTTAATAAGGACAGCTTTCTTTGTCAAAGCTCTATAGAAAAAGTTCCAATGTTGTTTGAAATAAAACACCTATTGTTTAGTGCAAAAAATCATTTGTTAGAAGGACTACACATGTTGTCAAAGTTCTGTTTTTTAAAGTTTCCAAACTCACGCACCATTAGTTCTAACTAAATGTTGTTCCTTGTCTTCCCTTTTAACACTAGCCAACAATCTTGCAATTAGTTCTTCTTCGGCCATTTTATAATATCGCTAAATAAGGTCAAGCACAAGGACGCACACGGAACTAGGCTCCGGGAAACCCGTTGCATCACAGGGCGCACATGGAAGCTACTTCCAGTAGTTACGCGAACCACTCCCCAAGGTCGACTGACAACTGGGAAAGGGGTAAGAGTATACAAAACCGTTTCTGCAAAAAAGAGGTTAGTGAGGTAAATCAGGCCACAGCCCTGCCAAACACATACTTTTGTTTTTATAATGAAAAAAGTAGTGACCCGGAGGTAACTTCCGTGATGGAAGGTTATAAAAAAAAAGAATTTAACTGAGTTAAGGGGGGTTACGAGAAGTGGCGGTGTTGGAGCCCTAGACACCGCTTGAGAGCACTATTGAATGTTTCCTCCGTAACTTACTTCTCTGTGGTACGTATCAGGTTGCTGATACTGTTGCTTCAAAGTGAGATCTTGCTTTTGTGTGTACTGTACTTAAGTGTGACAAGTTGGTTTTGAAGATGTGTTTAAACTTGAAATTACTATGACTATCCACTTTCACTTAGAGTGTTGAGAATTTTGTAAAAATGTTTTGCTGTCAAATCAAATCAAATCAAATCAAATCAAATCATCTTTATTCCATAGACACAAATTGTGAAAAGTACAATAGTGTATAGGCTGCGTCAACAATATAATACAACTTAAAACTAATCTAAGGTTGAGGCAAAATAATCTTCTATTTTATAAAAACAGTTTTTTAGAAGAATTCTCTTGATGGCTACTTTAAAAACATTTAATGGTAACTTTTTAACTTTAACTGGTAACTTGTTGTACAATTTGGTAGCGGTATATTTGAAGCTAGCTTGAGTGGTGGCATAAAGGCACTGATCTATTCTTAAATTATTACAATTCCTTGTGGCATACTTGTGCACATCCTTATTACAAAGTAAAATATCACAGTTGTTTTTAACATATAACAGACATTGAAAAATATAAATACAGGTTAAGGGCATCACAGACAATTTCTTAAATATAGGCTTACAATGACTACGTGGGGGAGCATTACTTAACAGTCTAATGGCTCTTTTTTGTAAAACAAACAAGATGTTGGCATGGCTACAATTAGCCCAGAGAATGGCACTATATACTAAATGGCAATGAACATAACTAAAATACACAGTTAACAATACATCTTGAGAAACAATTGATTTTAAATTTCTTAAAATAAAAATTCCTTTGGAGAGTTTTGGAGCGGTAAAATCAATATGGGAAAACCATTTTAGGTTGCTCTGTATCATCACACCTAAGAATTTGACTGGAGTTTGAGAATTCTTAGAGTTACCATAGGTCATTTCCAGATTTTGAGTTTTGTTTACGTTAAGAGACAGCTTATTGGCCTTACACCAGTCGGACATTGTTTTAACAGACTCAGAAATTACACTGTCCTGCATACACTTAGTAGACTTGATATTCAAACACACGTCGTCTGCATACATAAAACATGAAACATCATTACTTTGGACATTAAAAGGTAAGTCATTAACATAAATAATGAAGAGTAGGGGGCCTAAAATGGACCCTTGTGGCACTCCGTGGGGAGTGTGTTTAAGCTCTGACAGTGAATCCTGGAAATAAACAGCCTGGAATCTGTTGCTCAGATATGACTCAATCAAAGACACGGCATTATCACAAAAACCAAATGACTTTAGTTTGCCTAGTAAAACACTGTGAGACACAGTGTCGAAGGCCCTTGAGAGATCAAAAAATTTTGAGCAAACACCTTGTTTTCTTTCCATGGCCTCTAGAGTGTCCTGAATGTAATTTAAGACCGCCTCCGTAGTGGATCGGTGCTTGCGGAAACCAAATTGCGCACACGAAAGCAAACCGTTTGAATCCAGAAAGTTAACTATTTGCCATGAAAGCACCCTCTCAATGACCTTCGACAGAGTGGGCACCAAGGCCACAGGCCTATAATTGCTAACATCCAATCTATTACCTTTTTTAAATATTGGCACTATCTTAGAAATTTTAAGTTTGTCTGGGAAAGTTTTTCCCGTAATACAGGAGTTAATGATGTGTGCAATGACTTCACATAAATAATCACTACCAAACTTTAGAATCTGAGAACTTAAACCAAAAATATCAAGACTGCTGCTGCTGCTTAAAGACAAAATAGCTTTATGTACACATTCTACTGAAACCTCACAAAATTCAAATTTAACATTACACAAAGGAACACTAGACATATACTCATCGGCACTGGTTAAACTAACAGGAATGTTATCAACAATATCATTAATACTACTTACAAAAAAAGAGTTAAAATTTTCTGAGTTTAAAGGTGAATCAACATCTGGTAATATAACAACTGGGCGCTCATTTGTTGAGATATTTTTTCTAATAATATTCCACATTACCCTGGGCTTGTTGCAGGCATTAGAAATACATGAGTTATTGAACAATAACTTAGCTTCCTTTACTTTCTTATTATAGATCTTAGTTAATAACTTGTACCTAACCTTAAAAGCTTCACAACCAGTATCTTTACTTAGATAAAAATAATTCAAACATTCTTCTTTTAACTTCCTAAGTTCACCAGTATACCAATTACCAATGTGTTTGCGTGGTTTAGCAGATCTTGGCCTAACGTAAGGAAAACAACAATTTACAAAAATAATGACTAGATTAAGAAATAACAATATCTTAGTATTTACATCATCTACGCTGTAGATTTCATTCCAGTTTGTATCCTTGATATGATTACAAAAAACACCAGCGTTATTGTCTGACACCCTGCGCCTGGACTGTGACGCACCCATGGACCTCGGAGGATGTGACTGTGTGGAAGCAGGAGCCAAGTCCAAACACATAGATGAACTTACGATGTAGTGATCAGACGCCGTAGTCGGAATAACAGTAGCCTTCCACCTCGAGGGATGCAAATTGGTTACATAATTGTCAATGCACGAACCATCAAGCATATTTAAAAGGCTGGGTCGAGTTACTTCGTCTCTTAGCATAATGTTGAGCCCAAAACTTGTAATTAAGTTACAAAAATCTTGACAGACGTGAGATACGTTATCTTTAACATCGATGTTGAAGTCACCAGCTATAAGAACATCACATTCCAAGGATGCTGTTACAGTTAAAAGTTCTTCGAATTTGAGCAAGAATAACTCAGTATTGTCTTTGTCTGGGATTCGATAAATGCACACCAATAAAATCTTCGGATTGTCTAGGAAGAGAGCACTAATTTCAAAGACATTTACCAAGGCTAAACTGGTAATAATAGGCGCAGGAGACCAATTAATAGCTTTGTTGTCCCTAATAAATATTGCTGAACCTCCTCTTTCTAACCGAGGCCTACTAAAGCTTGAACATAGTGTAAAGTTTTCTAGATGTAATGATTTTATGTCAGAATCCAAAAGCCAATGTTCAGTAATAAAAACAACATCACTGTTTTCGTCATTAGCAAATATTTCAACGAAGTTGACCTTGTCACAAAGATTACGGCAGTTCCATAGCAAGGTATTGAAGTTAAAATTGTTTAGGCCTAGGCCTACGTCAATTATATGTGCACAAGGGTTGGCTACGTCAGTGCTTACCTGGTTTTCAAAGTCAGTCACATTGGAGGTACAACTCGTTTGTCCTGTAAGTTTAAAGATTTCTTGACAACAAACCTGTTCACAAACACTCCCTTCGGCCAGAAGTCAGGTTTATACACTACTTCGTCAATCCTGGAAGGAATGGTGACTTTAAATGAACAGTATTCCTCCGGGTACTTAGAATTTAGTGATTCTACTTTAAACGATTCATTGCTAAATTTTTCTAATAGGAAAGATTCCAAATCCTTAGAGTCAGTGTCCGGTGATAGCCTAGATACAAACAGGAACGACTTCTTTTCGGCAGTTTTAAGCCTATCGCCATCAGCTGCACTTGAACTTCCAGTAATAAATTTAGGTTTGTTATTGTTTTGATTTTGTCTGTAACTGACATTTCCAACGCCACGGCCTCCATTATTCTGACTCTTCTGTTGATGTTGTTGAAAGTCACGACGCATATTTCGCTTCCGATAGGAGACTGTCTGGAACGAATCGGATTCAGCTGCCATCTCACTCCTATTTGACTCCGCTGCTGCAGATTCAGACTTGGATGTAGTCGGTCGGCCTTCTGGGTTTCGAAGCAACGAGCTCGTCATAGTCGACTCTTTTACTCTATGACCACTAACAACAGATTTGTCACTAGCTGTCTGTTCAACGTTGTTGTTGTTGTTGTTGACATTTTCATTACTGTCAAGCATACTAGGGTTAGGTTTAAGAATATCCTTATCGATAAGATTACAATTTAAGGAAGTTAGATTTTGAATACTACCTTCACCTCTCTTTAAATTCTGTGATTTTAGTTTGCTAGCATACGTGTTATTAGTAGACTTGTCAAAAACGATATCACCAATGATTTCAGACTGGTGTTTCAGTCCGTTCTTCAGCTTGTCATTTTCACTGAGTAAAAACATAATTTGCTCACTCATCTTATTTTGCGTGATAATTAAATTGCACACTTTATCCGAGAGAGATTGAAATGAGTCATCAGAATATGGTACATCACATTCATCGTCATTTTTCACAGAACTTGCTGTCGCTGAGCAGGGAGCAGACGACGGCGGCGGCATCGTTGCGGATGACGACCGGCACGTATCACACTTGAAAAAAGCCTTATCTCCTAACTCCTTAAAAATATTTAACTCTTCGTTTGATAGCCCGGCACACGAAATGTGAAACCACGACAGACAATATCCAAAACACTTGATACATTTACTGTTCTTCGTAATATTTCTTTTGCAATCAGCCGAGCCACATCTAGTAGGCGCCATCTTGATGACGCTTGTCTCTTGTCAATCCTGTAACTACCTACTGAATAGTTATAGTAGAGACAGGAGAAGGTAATCACAATTTTGTTGTTGTTTCAGGGGAGAGATGCTTGAGACAACCGTGGTCACCTCCCAAGTGATGCCTGATAAGAACACCAATCAAGTTCTCATGAGGAAGGCGACACAGGTACCCATGGAAGTTACTTGATGAAGGGCGTAGAATTGTTGACTGCACGTCGTTAAAAACGAGACGGGTGCGATTTGGCTGTGCTTCTGCCGCTGTTTAGTTATTGTATTAGACTCATAATCGGTTATTTAGTCAATTCTAATTTTTATCCCAAGGTTTTGATCCATTGCCTAAATTTAACTTGATTGTATTAGTATTTCCCCATTCTATCAAAGTGTCACATTACCCGATAGTAACACAAGACTAAAAGATACCACCCAAATATTTCACGAGTCAATGTAAAACTAACAAATGAATAAGTCTTTTATGTAATTCTAAAGGATACTCCTTGTGAAATATTTGAAACTATAAAGAGAACGTCATTAGTTGAATCCCATCTACAGGCTTCTTGTAATTGTCAGACAAGAAACTCCTATTAAGCTTTACAATTTGAAACATTTCTTTTTTTATATGGAACTGTGGGTAAATAATAATAGTTGTAGGTCTCATGCAATGGGTATTTGTGCATTAAAAGATGATTTATTTTACATTTATTTTATCCGATTTTTACTCAAGCCATACACAGTTTAAGACTGTGTAATATCTGTTTGGTCTTGTTTATAATAAGTGTTCTTAGAATAATTAATTATTTAATCTGATCTACCAAAAAGCTAGAAACTATTATTTTAATATATTATTAAACAGTAAACTTCCGATTATCCACGATAATGAGCGGCTCAATTGTTGTCGATAATCACAATTGTGGATAATGCAAACCTAACCTAAAATGTCCGGGAAATAACTAACATTGACTTTGAATGGATAGTTAAACTTTGATACAGGAGGTAATAATAAAACATTTAAATGCAGTGTTGATGCCTTTTAATGTAGTTACACACACTTATATTTACAAAAACATAATATTGGAGAGCCTATTTATGAGCTTATTTTATATGGTTAATCCGTGGAAAGTTATTCCACTCGTGAAAAATCGGAAGATAGCTGTACTTTCTAAATGTAAAAAACAAATTTAACTAATATTATAAAGTTTTAGATCTATAAGCTTGTTTTGTTACACACCAAAATGAATGGCATGGTCGATTTCTGTATATTTATATTTATATAATTTGTCACAGACAAATGGTTTTCTGTTGGAATTTAATGGTAAGTTTGATATTTCGCAGTCAAGTCTGGTATCCCTTTGTGAAACCCATGTACGATATTTCGATATTGTACTGTAAACAGATTTTCTCCTCATTTCTAAACTCAAACCTGGAAGTCATATTGTGACATTCAACTTTGTAAACATTCCCTTTGCTCTGTTACTTTTTTCCAATATAATGATCAAAGTTATTTTTTATTCCAGCGCCAAGTCCCTGTTCAAGATCTATTATTTCAAACCAATAGGCCTACATGTTGTTGGTTATCTCGGAAGATAAAAGCTCAACTACTGTATACGTATAACTTTCAATCATTTAACTTAATAAAAGACATCAGACTTAACTGTGAATCCATTATTTTGTGTGTAATTTAATCAGTTTTAAGAAGAGGCTCCAGTCTGTTGGTGTCTTGTACCTATCATTAAGACATCATATCCATATGGACCAGCTGTAGCCAATTTTTTATAAAAAATAACATAGTTGAATCAGCTGATCATAGAGAGTGGTTTTCATCCTTAGTTTTTGATACCGAGATAGTATTTACAACTAGTTGTCCTTTCAGTCTGACTTAGTTTAATCCATTGACACAGTGTTATGATTGGAGCAGTAGCTGTACTGTTAACTCACTGAAGTAGCGCTAGTGGTACACGTCTCTGTTGGCCGACGGTGACAATAGTGACTTAGCATTGTCCAGCTTGAGTGAAAGTTGGCAGCATTGAGTTCAATAGGGATTGCAAACAACACCTGTTTTGCTTTCTTTTATTCATACTTCTAAAGATGAAGAGGACACAGATTTTTCTTTTTTGGCTAAATATGGACGTATCGTGAAGAAATACGTATGGCATAAAATACGCAGAGGAAATAACCTAAAAAGTCATGTCGATATAGAAATCGAAAACAAATTTCTGTGTCAATGGGTTAAAAGTTTGAGCATTTTATATAAATCAGAAATTCACATTAGCTCACGTTGTCGGTGGCTCAGATCAATTATGTTCATTTTCATTCTTAAATTGGCTACAACTTGGGAATAGAGTATCTAGTTTTATACATAGTCAAGGTAAAAGTCAAAAGTCGAGTCATATCTTTGCTAACACCTTAGTAAGAAAGTCATAACTAATTTCTCGTAATGTTTTAAAAAGATTCATTCGCTCCAATGCTGGGGTATATCGTGGTTAGGTGGCACTTGTTTGCTCAAAACCTGTTAACTATTAATTATGTTACATCACTGGTATGCTATTCATAAATTACTGTTGACTAGACGTACAGTTCATTTATAATATTACTCTCAGTGGAACATTTTTGACTTTTGTCTTTAATTCCATTGTTTTATATGACGGTATGATAATTGAAGCTCAGCACTTTAATTTGTTAGTTTAGCTGGTCAAATAGCGGTCTTTAAATTTGTTATCAGCGTGTTTGTAGTTTCACATTCAGACGTTAGAAAGAGTTTTATTTATTGTGATTTCGTGTACATAAAAAGATGTATATAAAACATCACCTATTTAAAATATAGTTTAATATATTGTCTCGATTACATTTCTATTCGTTGATTTCAACAATGTGAATAGAACACTACAACAAGTCAGAAGATTGACTGTTGCACAATTGTAAAGCAACAAGGATCATTGAAAACAAATTAGGGTTGTTTATTAATCATTTTTTCAATTAGGTAAAATGTTAATTAATTTATAATCTGTTGATTGTTATTGCTGAAAATGCATTAATTATATACAAGATATTATTGGCTACAACACATTCAATGAACTTTTATGTGAGCAATTAATGCCGCAAAGTGGGTCAAATCCATTAAGAATATCTTTTTACTATTTTATTTTGTGACTTTATATTCTTGGACACTTTAAACGTGTAGAGACCAAATGTTAATTTATATCTATATATATACATCTGCATACAGTAGAGCATTAACTATCCTAAGCCCAGTCATCAGAAACATCGGTTAACCAAAAGGAAGAAAGAAACAAAACACTTCCAATCATTAGTTTTATTTGATTAATGAATGATCACTACCCACGGATGATCCGTGATATCAACAGATAATCATTGGTGTCAAGAGTGTTGCTACGATCGCGGGTGACAATCAACACCAATAAAAAAATACATGTAAAATAAATTTAAGTGCTATGATTCAAAATAGTGATTTGTCAAAACCAAACCACCTATCTCAAAACCCGCAAATACATTTTGGTTTCAAGATTTGAGTGGCAAGTTTGGTTTGGAATTCAAAACCGAATCTGTCAACAATTTTGGTCATAAATATCGACCACTAATAAGTGTTTGTTTTGATTTTGTTATTGTCAAGAGTTTTTAACTTTTTCATGGTTTAAAGTGTATTAGTCACACACACTTCTTGTCAGGAACCAGAGAAGTAAAGAAGTTCCACATTTAGGTTTTAAGATGAAGGTTTAAATATCATTCTAATTTTCCCGTCAATGACCGATAATCTGATAAAACCTATCCCAACGCCCCTAATCCATAATCATTTTCGATAGTTGACTCTACTGTATGCATGTATATGTCTTCCCAAGGACTATATCGGGTATTTGCGGTCGCAAACCAGCAAGTTTGGGTGTTAAGAAAAAGAAATGGGTGTTGTGTGTTTCTTATTTTTCAAAATTCGGTTTTTTCAAACTTATAGGATTTGACCTATCCTAAAAACATAAAAATGCTCAATTCTCCTTACACTCATCATGTAAAACTTTAAAACCCCCAAATAATTTGAAATTGTCAAGTGTTGTACGCTAATGGCTTTAGAGAAAATTTCAAAAACCTGTACATATGGAATTCCATTGTTATGAAGAATGGTAGTTTACTTCTTCATGGATATACTTCAGTTTTGGCAAATTAATTTAATAAAAAAACCCAAGCACTTGTTCCTAATGTTATTAAAATTCAAGATGAATATGACTTTTAAAAATATGTAATCATGCATTTGGAAATTTGCTTCTTCTGCGGGTTTGCTGGAGTAGAAACAGTAAACCAACGTTTCAAAAAGGCTAATGCTTATGTTTTCATTTTTTTATTATTTTCATCATTTTATTGCATTATACATATAGTCAGGTTGACAAACTATAACTCTGTAGATTTGTCTAATTTTTAATTGATTTACCAATGTTTCCACTTTTTTGTCAATGTTTATAATGAATTTATAGCATGCCTAAATAATATTAATTGATGTTAAGGATGCAACATAGAGCACAAGAGCCAAGGCTTTTGGGATTTTTAGTAAGGATAGCAGTCTTACCTGAATGGGAAGGAGTCCAAAATTACACAAGAGACACAACAAAACATGTCAAGTTTTGTGTTTCTTGTGTCAGTTTAAATTCCCCCAATTCAGGTAAGACTGCTATCCTCACTAAAAATACTGACATTAATTGATCATTTTTACTTGTTCGATCATTGTTTTTATTTCTTAAGTTGTAAATGAGAATGGGTCTAAATATTATTATTGATCATTTAAACCTGTTAAAATAAAATAATACACTTAAAAATGCATGCAATAGCTTTTTTTATTTTACTGTGGAACCATTTTGACGAAGATGTGACTTGATTCTATGAAATACAATTATGAAATCTGTTAACTCAAGTTCAAATAAATGTGCAACGAATGAATGTACGTATATTTTATCATATTTAATTTGTTTATTCTTCTGAAAGCTTTCTAATTTCGGATTAGATTGATATTGTCGAAAATTTACAAATGAACATGTATTGGTCTATTTGTAATGTTTCAACAATATAGATTTTGGCAATTGATTTGGGATTTGTAATACAATTATAAGATTTTTAATGACACTCGTACTGATTGATGTTGTATGGGGATTGAAGCTGACAAGGTGCGTTAGGGATTTGTATGATTTTAAATGTCTTCTGTATGATCTACAAATGTAATTAATAGGTAACGAATAAGTTTTACTTCAACAAACTCATATAATGTTAAATATAAGTATCAAAAGCAATACCTTAGATATATCTAGATTCTTTTACTTTCAAGTTTTATTTTAGGTGAAAGGAAGTTTGGGTTTTAAAATTGAAGACAATTTACTGTGTCTAAGGGTTTTTTTAGTCTTTCAGCGAATTCCCCAATAGGGGCGTAGCTATTGCCATAGGTTTCATGGTAAGATTTAGACCCAGGACCGATTTACTTTTTAATAAAGTGGTTTTTCAAAATTTTTACTCGTAAAACAAGGAAGTGCTATTATAAAAATCGTGATGAGCTTAAAAAATTGAAGCGTTGTTGTACAATTAAAGGTTACGGAGATAATCCCAAAAACTGTACATTTAAGATTTATTCTTTTGGAAAAAGAGAAAACTGTTCTAGTTTGCTTGTTTATGCATGTTTGTTCATCAAATTAGGCCAATTCTTTTATTTTCATCCTATACTATCAACATTTCTTCAAGAAAACACTTTTTACCCTAATGTTATATAAATGCTTTTTATAAATATGTTTTGTTTATATAAATATTTTAGTTAAAATATAATAAGACAAAATGAAATTCACTTAGTCTGCAGGTTTGCTGAGGTGGGGGTATTTATTTTTGAAAGGTTTCTAGTCTTGAGTACAGAATACAAAGAAAGGTTTAAAAAAAACTCCATCAGCCTTAATCCACCTTGTCAAAGTCTGGTCTTCCTTTTAATTTTGTATCAAAGACTCGAGTATATCACAGATCAATTAATTTAAACTCCTAAAAAATACTTCTTTTCTCTCAATCATTGAACCTTATTTTTGTCCGTTACTAGTGTTGTAAAGTAAAAAATAACCACGCTTTAAAGTTAGTAAACAATGCTGTAAACTTAATCTTTTTAATTCTAAGAACTGAACTGAAAAGGCTAGTTTTAAAAACAGGTAAAACATGTAACTTGACACTTTTTTTCTATAAGTTGGCTCACCAGGTTTGAATCTCAAAATTTTTTTCCTTAAAACCTAAATGTAAAAAAATGCAAAGCTCTGTATATTTTTCTATAGTTCTATCACAATATTAGAGTGCACAAACAAGTGTCCCCCCCAGGTTGTTGCTGGTATCTTAATTTGTATTCTTGCTCAAGAATTTGGGTAAACAACTATGCTATTGCCTTTGTAATAAATATGCATTGAGAAGATTAAACAGTTGCAGGTTTTAGAAGGTGGATCTAAACCACATTATGTAAGGAGTTGCAGAGAAGTGTGATGTATGTTGAAGTGAAACTTTGTTATGCATTGTAATGAATGGTCGTGGAATTATGTTCTGAATTATGTGCTGCATTTACAAACATGTTTTTTACACTAAAATTAATGAATTATTTGATATTTGATGCAGTGACTTTGATATGAGTAATGGAATGTATCCATGTGAAAATTCACAAATTTAACCATGTATAAATTACCTGGTATGCTTTACATAGTGTTTGCTAGTGAACTGTTAATTTCTTCCTGTAAAACTATGTTTCTTAAATTACTGAATAATATAACAACATTTTTAATGCTAAAGATATTTGATCATTTTTATAGTTTTAATCAAACAATTTGATCAGTGAAGAGACAAAAGATTATATTTCTGGATCATGTGGAAAACTGTTCCTTGTTCATTTACCTTGATATAATTTATTTTGAGTAAGTACCCGTTATATCTCTTTACATTTAGTTTTAGCTGATATCAAATGAGTAAGAAATTATTTATTTATGAAATTAACTTATGGATAATAAATGTATTTGTATCAAAACCAATTTTTTTAAGTTTTCTGTACAGAATTTTAGTTGTAAATGATTGCATACGCAAGTATGATAGGTTTTGATATGTAAAATATTGATAATTGCTGCCAATTTTGAAATTATGTTTAAACTGTGGTAGTACAGGCTTGTGATAACTTTAAAATAAACTATCGGTGGGTATTTCTTTATTCAAATGTGTAAATACCTTTTGTAACCAACACTGTACACTATTAGCAAAGTGTAAATATTTCCTTGTAAATATATAAATAAATGTATTATTTCAAATTGTGCCGATTTTATCGGCAGGATCTTACGTATTCTGTAGTTTTTGATTTGTAATTAATTTGCTGGTCTATATCGGCAACCTGTCATATGTAATAAACATTCAGTTGAAAATAAAATGAAATTTTATACATCAATTCTAATGTTTTCTTATTTAATTTAAGGTAGTACCGTTAAATCTTTGATTTTAAGGGATTTGTACGATTGATTTTCACACAAAATACATTCATCATCAGAACTTACCAACTGAGCAGGATATTCCTGTGCCAACTTTGTTTTTAATGTCCTATAATAATAATGTCCACTACTTGGCACGTTTATAGACAAAATCAAAACAGTTTAAGTAGAAAAAGCATATTACACTCTTGAGGAATTTTTCAACGACTCCTGGTAACAGACACCCATTCTCTCATCAACCTCTCCTAACATAAACAGTTCCACAATGCTGTAGCTTTTGTAGGGGTACCTTACTGGCAAAATCTTAGGTTTTTTTATATATTTAGAATTCCTTATTTATTATAAACCTTGACAATGTACCTGTCTGTGTATTATGTTTGTAATAACTTTAACAGATGTTATGTGCAATAAAGAATTGTCATTTGGTAGATGATGTCCACTAGTTGGCACGTTCGGTAGATGATGTCCACTAGTTGGCACGTTCGGTAGATGATGTCCACTAGTTGGCACGTTCGGTAGATGATGTGCACTAGTTGGCACGTTCCGTAGATGATGTCCACTAGTTGGCACGTTCGGTAGATGATGTCCACTAGTTGGCACGTTTGTTTATGTTTTATTACGTTTAGTAATACGTTTCATTACGTATTACTACGGTACAGTAGTACGTAATGAAACCCCCAAATTTGTATATACAGGGTGTCCCGGAACTCTCTACCAATATTTTAGGGCATTATTCCTGGGTAAGAAACATATCTAAATATCATATTTAAATTGTCCGGAAGTCCTTAGTTACTCAGATAGCCGCCATTTTGTTTTTTTTCACTTATTAATTTTTTTCTGAAAATTGGTTAAACATACGAAGTTGAAACTTTGCACAAACATTTATGACAACTAGACAAAGCTACAAAAAAATTATGACGATTTTTCAAATTCATAAAACAAAATGGCGGCTGTTTAAAATTTTGTTTCTTAAATTACTCGAAAACTGTTGATGTTACAAAAATTTTACAAGATTAACTTTTTTAAGGCAATTTTATTACAAATCGATCGACACCTTAATCTTTAAGATCGGACAAGTATTAACTGACATATGGCAGTTTTAGTGATACGTGACCGCCGGATATTAGTTGCAGCGCATGCTGAAAGCGGTCACGTATCACTAAAACTGCCATATCTCAGTTAATACTCGTCCGATCTTAAAGATTAAGGTGTCGATCGATTTGTAATAAAATTGCCTTAAAAAGTTATTCTTGGAAAATTTTTGTAAAATCAACGGTTTTCGAGTAATTTAAGAAACAAAATTTTAAACAGCCGCCATTTTGTTTTATGAATTTGAAAAATGGTCATAATTTTTTTGTAGCTTTGTCTAGTTGTCATAAATGTTTGTGCAAAGTTTCAACTTCGTATGTTTAACCAATCTTCAGAAAAAAATTAATAAGTGAAAAAAACAAAATGGCGGCTATCTGAGTAAATAAGGACTTCCGGACAATTTAAATATGATATTTAGATATGTTTCTTACCCAGGAACAATGCCCTAAAATATTGGTAGAGAGTTCCGGGACACCCTGTATATATATACACGTCCGTGAACACGATAACTTGAGTAATTTTGTCCAATGAAATTTGGTTTGAAGGTGAAAGGCCAGGGACACACTTACCGGTGAAAGTGCCGGGTGCCGGACGCCGGAGCAAGTTTAGTTGATTTTCCCTTTACATGCAATGAGTTGACAACGTTTGGCAGACTATGGTATTTATAATATAGGGTACTTTGTCAAGTATTGTAAACAAATAAAATATAAAGAGTTGGTTTGAATACTTAATTAACATTCAATTAGCACAAAAAACAGTAAACAACACTACCACAGCAATATTTTATACAAAGTTTAACAGAAAGAGGTCTTGAATTTTTTTCTCTATAAATGGCACCTCAAGCCCAGCTCATGATTAGCACTTCACTTCAAATATATAATTCGTCCATTAACAATTTGAATAATTTTTATGTTTAACTTGATATAATGTATCTGCAAATATCAGTTTAATGATTTATCTTTTTTCGAATTTTTCAGGGAATAAGCTATTACCGTTTGTCTCATAGTAAGACCTGGACCCGGGACCGATTTACTTTTTCAGTTCATATATACAGGGTGTCCCGGAACTCTCTACCAATATTTTAGGGCATTGTTCCTGGGTAAGAAACATATCTAAATATCATATTTAAATTGTCCGGAAGTCCTTATTTACTCAGATAGCCGCCATTTTGTTTTTTTCACTTATTAATTTTTTTCTGAAGATTGGTTAAACATACGAAGTTGAAACTTTGCACAAACATTTATGACAACTAGACAAAGCTACAAAAAAATTATGACGATTTTTCAAATTCATAAAACAAAATGGCGGCTGTTTAAAATTTTGTTTCTTAAATTACTCGAAAACCGTTGATTTTACAAATATTTTACAAGAATAACTTTTTTAAGGCAATTTTATTACAAATCGATCGACACCTTAATCTTTAAGATCGGACGAGTATTAACTGAGATATGGCAGTTTTAGTGATACGTGACCGCCGGATATTAGTTGCAGCGCATGCTGAAAGCGGTCACGTATCACTAAAACTGCCATATCTCAGTTAATATTCGTAAAATCAACGGTTTTCGAGTAATTTAAGAAACAAAATTTTAAACAGCCGCCATTTTGTTTTATGAATTTGAAAAATCGTCATAATTTTTTTGTAGCTTTTTCTAGTTGTCATAAATGTTTGTGCAAAGTTTCAACTTCGTATGTTTAACCAATCTTCAGAAAAAAATTAATAAGTGAAAAAAACAAAATGGCGGCTATCTGAGTAAATAAGGACTTCTGGACAATTTAAATATGATATTTAGATATGTTTCTTACCCAGGAACAATGCCCTAAAATATTGGTAGAGAGTTCCGGGACACCCTGTATATTTATTTATATCATCATCCCTTCAAATTCATACAGTATATACTGGGTGTTCACAAGGTCTTGGTCTGATTTAATAGATTTGCTGTACGAAAACCATTAGAGCCACACTTAACTTGTATGCCTTGTTTTGAAGGGAATTTAATCAAGTTTTATTTAATGAAATAGGTAACACAGTTGATTGACAACAATACAGTTATGATTCAATATAATAACAAATCAGAAATGGCGAGTTTACAAGAGAAATCACAGTTTGTTTTGTTGTTTCACAAAACCCAATCCCCTATATAGGCCAGGAAAATTAGTTAGAAAATTGGCCGTGCCTGGAAATAATTCCCGAAAAGCTGGAAATCATTTTAACCCTTTGAGGTCGAATTTTCCCCCCATTTTTCGGCGAGTATAGTTTGCCATTTTAGCTTTCGGTCAACCTATACTCACCATTCGACCTCAAAAAATTAACTTTTTTGATTTTTTTTTTCCTTATAGGTTGCCATTTTTGAGCAGTCGGCAAAATGGCGGGCGGCGACCTATACTCGCCGTTCAACCGCAAAGGGTTAATCCTTTTGTTTGATATAGAAGGAAAAGGATTTGAAGTTTGTTCCATTTTACCAGGTGAGCTTCTGACCTGGGACCACAAAAACCTTGAAATTTAGGGTCATTTTTTAGTTTTTGCTAAAACGTCAAAAACCGTCCAACCTACAGAAAAGCACAACGTTAAGGAATTGCAGAGCATAAAATTCCGCATCTATTGAGTATCTGGTGATGAAAATCGAACCAATAATAAGTTATTTATAGTAATTTAAATAAAATTATTTTATTAAGAAATTATTGAACATTGCATATGTTATGAGATTGTGTTTATTTCCTTCATTTGCAAGAAAGTGTTCTTATGGCAAGGTGAGGGACATTGTTTCATCAACTTTACACTGGCTGCAATGTATTTATTCCTTCGGCGGAATCTTACGAGGAACTAATGAAGACTCAATTCAACCACGCGGAAGGTAAGGCCTACTGATTGGAGCTGAAAGTCATCTAAGCATGGGATAATTCCAAATCCAACATGTGTTGAAGCCGCACCTCCAGATCTTCTCAACACAATCTCATTTAAGTGTGCAAAAGGGTGTAAAAGTGGTTGTCTTTTTAGGAAGAACGGAGCCAAAAGTACAGAATTGTAAAGGTGTTTGTTGCAACAATCCACCAGATAAAGATAAACCACATACTGTACAAGCTATTACTTGCTTATGTTGGAGTTGTATGTAGTCCCTCAATTATAAGAACTGCAACTTATTATGATAATTTTTTCAGCAAGACGGCCTCATTGGGCTAAATGTGAGAGGGATTTCTTCATCTTCACTTCCTCGGTTGCTGGCTCGGGCGTGATGACCCGACCAAATGGCCACCTCGTTCCTCCGATGTAAACCCCATGGGTTTCTTGTTGTGGGTATTTGGAAAGGACACTGTCTATTCATCCCCGGTTCATAATTTACACACACTTGCGGGAGAAATTCAGGAATTCTGTGGCATCTGTAACCCAGGATATGCTGCCTAAACCTGGGACAAACTGAAAAGACAGATAGAAGATCTGCAAGCCACTGGAGGCGCACACGTACAGTTGTGTTATGTTTGTACATAGTTATAAAATCTTAAGAAGTAACCTGTTATATCTGTAAATAAATCTTTATCCTACTATCACTTGTTTTCATACTATGCGGTTTCCTTACCAGACCAAGACTTTGTGGACACCAGGACACCCTGTATTTATTTTCATATACAGTATGTGTCTGTTAGC